GTATTCTGTGAAATTGAGAAGTTCGAATGTTTTGTCGAAATCATTAGAAAAGTTGAGAATGACGATGGCATTACCTTCGTCGGCCAGAGAGATGACAGTGTCAGGGTTGTTATAAAGTTATCAGGGTTGTTATCAACTATAATCACAGGGCTTACGATAATAATAGGTAATTACACAATTTTCTTTACAAAATATTTACTTAGAAAGTTGAAAATTTATAAATACGATTATTGGCTTAATTTAACCTTTTATTTGCAAGTTTAACGAAGATTATAAAGGAAAAAACTTAAATTGTATTTCCTGTTAAAGGTCGTGTTTGTACTGATGCTGGTTCGTTAAACATATAAACGTAAGTTCAATTACAACTGCAATAAAAGTTAGTTCCCACGTTAAGAAAAATAAACAAAATAATTAAATTGTGAAGTTATGAATTATACCGTTACGAATAGTCATTGTTACGAACTGTCGACGTTATGAGGTGTCGCCGTTATGAATTGACGGCGTTACGAATTTCCCATTAACACCAGTGGGGTTACAAACTGTCGCGTTACGAGATCTCTTGTCACAAAATTTGTGCAATCGACCCAGTGCAGCAGCTTTTGCAATTTCATACGCTTTTGTGTAACCCTGCAGTCTGGGTCAAGTGTTTTGTCTGAGTCTGACCCATCGCTTCTGTACAGTAAATGTTCGCTTGGAGCCTGTGCTAGCATACTAACTGTAATACAATTGGTACAATTATTTGTAAAATGTTTGTATCAATCGCATAATAACTAGATGAGAAATCACTGTGTATGTGAAAAGTATTACTATAAATCCATGGTTAAATATGTAACAGTCCTAAATCGCTCTCAACTGGTAGCGACCATAGACTAGTCCAAACCAAGCTGATCATTGCTAGCAGATTTGAAACAAGAAAGAAAATGAAAAATAATCAGAAATTAGACATGGAAAAATTAAAACAAGAAAAACAGATCTTGATATTGATATGATCTTGATATTTACTGAAACTCTAATGAAAGTGGGTAAAGAAATAGCACAGACAACAACAAAAAAAGAGAAAGTTTTATATCTCAGGAAAAAAAATTCTTATGAACACAAGAAGGACATTACTAGAACAAGGGAACAGAAATAAAATGGAATATAAACAAATAAACAAAACTATAAGAAAAAATATCAAGGAGTGTAAACGGAGAGAACAGGAAGAAAAGATAGAGAAAACAATTGAAAAAAATAGAAACATGAAGTGCTTAAAGCAGAACCTGGGAAACATACAAATTAATAGCATAAAGAATAAAGAAGGAGTGGAGACCAACAATATAAAAGAAATTTTACAGATAACGTAAGAATATTATACAAAGCTTTATAAAACAGAACAAAAACCTACCCAAGAAATCTGTAATCAGTTACAACTGAAAATAAAGAACGTTAACTCTGACCTACAACCAGAAATCAGTAAAAATGAAATAGAAGAATTACAAATCTTCTGGGAAAGATGGAATAACTGTGGAAATGCTAAAAAATGGGGAAAATCTACAGTGGAAGTCCTTTATGTACTAATGAATAAAATATTGAACACAAAAACAATACCCACCACATGGAACGAGGCAATATCACTACTACTATTTAGGAAAGGCGATAGAAAAGATCTGAAAAACTATTGGCTCATAACGCTACCTAATGTAATGTACAAACTGTTAACTAAACTACTAACAAACAGATTAACAACTAAGTTAGATAATTACCAGTCAAGAGAGCAAGCCGGTTTTAGAAAAGGATTCAATACAAGCGACCATCTGCTTACGATAAACATATTAATTGAAAAGGCCAAGATATATCAAATCCCAATGTATATGGTATTTGTAGACTTTGAAAAAGTATTTGATAAGGTGGAACATTGGGCAGTAAAGAACTCTTTAGAAAATGGGAGAATAGACTATAGATATATGGACTTAATTTCCAATATATATGATCAAGCAACAACATCCATTAAAATAGTTGAACAAACGGAGCCTATTAAGATACGGCGAGGAGTCAGACAGGGTGACACTATATCACCCAAACTATTCAATCAAGCTATGGAAGACGTTATGAGGAAATTACAATGGAAAAACGGGCTATTAACATAAATGGCCAATACTTGAATCATTTGAGATATGCAGACGACATTGTATTAATAACAGATAAAAGAGAAGAATTACATAGTATGATGGATAAATTAAATAGCGAAAAATAACGAAAATTATGACCAACCAACCAGAAGAATTAATAATTACAATTGCACAAACAACTATAAAACAAGTAAAAGAATATATATATTTGGGACAACTAGTTAAATTAAATAAAGAAAATCAGACCACAGAAATAAAGAGAAGGATACGGTTGGCTTGGGATCCTTCGAAAAGCTTTCCTATATACTAAAAAATAGAAAATACCCCCAATATTTAAAAATAAGAGTCTTTAACCAATGTATACTTCCTATTCTCACCTACGGTTCATGAAAATAATAGCAAAAACCCAAAGAGCCATAGAAAGACGAATGCTGAACATCAGGCTATCAGACAAGAAAAGAAATACTTGGATCCGCAACAAAACAAAAGTGACCGATGTATTAACGCAGATAGCAAAACTAAAGTGGAAGTTCGTTGGAGATATCATAAGACAGAAAGACAACAAATGGAATAAGATGATTATACACTGAAGACCATATAGTTACAAACGAAAAAGAGGAAGGCCACAAATAAGATGGTCAGATGACTTAAAAGAAACACGCAGGCCCAAAGTGGACACAAACTGCCTACAATAGAGAGACGTGGAAGAAGGAAGAGGAGGCCTATGTCCAAAATTGGACAGTAAGAGCTGTATAGATAGATAGATAGATTAAACTTGGATTCTACACTTGGTCGAAAGCTTGAAAGGCATTAAGAAATAAAGGCAGTGTTTACATAGCTTCTTATCTAAGCTTCCAGAGATTTCGTGAACGATTCTATAAAATTGCTTCTTCGTCTTCTTTCTCTTTAAACGCAATTCTGCTTGTTCATTGGCGGATTAATACCTCTTTGGAAGGTTGTCACTCCATCTTTTGCACGCTCATCCAATACTTCTTCTGTCGATTGGTGACTTATCTCTTGCTATTTTGGCGACACAGGTCTCCCTTATTCTGCTTACATGGTTATTTCATTATTTTTTACATTTAGTGTATATTCGTTAATGCACTGTACGTTACAGTTTCTTCTAATGTTTTCACTTCTTTCTCGATCTCTCCTTTTGCCTGTAATTGTTCCAAGGACTCTCATCTCTACCGTTTCCAGTAACCTTTGCGTTGTTGCTGTGTCGGGTATTGTTTCTGAGGCATATGTCTTTATTGGTCTTACACTGTCTTTATAAATTCTTGATTTCTCTATCTATCTCATTGTTAATGTGTCTTATTCGCCATGTGTTATTAATGAAATTGCTGCCTAGTAGAATTTTTTATACTTATAATTTATAATATTATTATTTTTTGATGGTCCACTGATCTGAAACAGTTCAAATGGAATCTACAAAGCATTTGGAATATTTATTTTGTGTCAGCTTTATTAGCACACTCTGGTTTTCACTTGACTTTTAAATGTCAAATGTGCAATATCGAAAACGAGATGGCAACATAGGATTCTGGTTATCAACAATTCATTGAACTGGAATGGTTCTGGTTATTCAGACATACAGCAGCAGCACGCTGCATTAAATATACCTGTGATGTCCTACAGGCAGTATGCAAAACATACGGAGACAGTTGCAGATATCATCGGCCAAACACTTTGTGATTCCATAGAAGAGGCTGGACGGGAGGAATTAGCTTTAGCCAAAGAAATTGGTGAAGTAGATTCCGAGGGAAATGGGTTAATAACCGTTATAGCTGATGGTGCTTGGTCAAAAAGATCGTATAAAGTAAACTACGATGCTTCTTCAGGTGTAGTACCTGAGGTTGTAAAATTTATTAAATTAGTACGCCTTTGATGGATAGGACATGTAATTAGGCGAGATGAAGATGAAACGATCAGAAAAATTTTCGACCGAAGAAGACCAGTGGGAAGACGATCCAGAGGAAGACCAAAACTTAGGTATCAAGATAACATAGAGGATGATCTAAAATCCATCGGAGTTAAAGCATGGAGAAAGTTGCCAGAGGCAGGGGCGAATGGAAGATTGTTCTGAAGAAGGCTTTGGCTCATGACGAGCTGTAATGCCACTGATGATGATGAAATAACTATCCACGATTTGGGTTTTATTCATAAATTGGATACTTTTCTTATGTAACTGCAATCTATAAATATATTAAAATAATGTATATTCCATTCAGAGAACTTTTTTCTCACAGTGCGTCGCCTCGAAATACTTGCCAGATAAATACATTTACTATTATGATGGTTTCGCAGGTACCAATTTTTTATAGATAAATAAAAATATTTTTTGTTTAATTTTTACTACGCTAATATCAGTTTTCTCTAACAAATAAATAACTTCTTGAAATAATTTTCAAGCTATAACTGCGAAATTGTTTATTTGTTTGTGAAATTAAATTGTAATTTTTTTGATAATAATATTCTTATGTTATTTTAAATTTATTATAAATAAACACCATGGTGTTTTTTGCAGTCACGTTTCACAAATTTTTATTCAATACTATGTTTAGCTAAGACATATAAATTAAAAATGTGATTAATTCTTTTTAAAACATTATCTACGATAATCAATCTAAAAAAAGTATTCCGACAAAACTAATTTAAATGGAGAATAATGCATTTAATGTCAATAAACAACCCGTGGGCCGGCGCCACTGAATAAACATCGAAACTGCAGATTTCAAATTAGGAAGTCACGTAGGGTCTGACATAAGCAGTGTAGAAAAGTAAGTGATACGCCCACTTCAAATCGCAGTATGTTTTAACTGCGAAAACAGCCTTAAGAGGAAAGTTAGGTCTTAGGTTTTAATTTTACGTATTAAATAAAACAACTTCATAAGAATTTATTTTTGTATTTTTTTGAACTATTATCTTGGAAGCACATATAAATTGAGTGTAAAAAAAGTAAACGGATAACATCCTTGTAATTATAAAAGCAGTATGAAAAACAAAGTAAAGAATATACTTCTTTTAACAGATTAAATACAATTTAAAATAATTAGTTCACAATTATATCGCAATTTTAAGTCCATGTGTGTCCGCAGTAATATCGATTTTCTTGATTTAGATGGTCTTCCTAAAATATTAACAACAATGATTAGTAAATATCTGGCAGTATACGAGGATAGATTGATATTAAACTAGCATTTGATAGATGGCGCTACTTGATACCGAATTGGTTTCGGTGTTGACATTTCCAATTCACGACATGACGTCTGTCAAAATTTTAAGTTTTAAAAATAATTAGTTTGGTTTTTACAGCCGCTAAAAGCAAACAAATTTTGTGTTTTTGGAGAAATGGAAAAAGTCGACTATCGTTCGGTAATTAAGTCACAAATTATAAGTGACTATCGTTCACAAAAAGGGTAAAACGAATGTGCTAATCAAAGCTAACCTAGACGAAGTTTATGGTGAGGTTGCAGCTTTGTTAGTATAGTATATGCAATAGTAAAATTTTGAAAAGCTAAATTTGTTCGTGGTAGTACGAGTGTTTTTAATGATGAGCGTCCCGGTAGGCCAAATGAAGTCACCCCGCCGGAAACGATCAACAAAGTTCATGACATGATTATGTCAGATCGTCGAATTAAGCTCTGCAAGTTAATAGAGGTCCTAAACATTTCTTAAGAACGCGTACACAAAATCATTCACCATCATTTTTACATGAAAAAACTATCCGCGCGATGGGTGCCGCGTTTGCCGACAATCGATCAAATGCAAAAACGTGTGACCACATCGGAGACGCTTTTGGCGATGATACGGTGCAATCCGAAGAATTTTTTTCGCCGATTTATCACCGTTGATGAAACCTGGGTGCATTATTACACGGAAACCAATGAACAGTCGAAACAGTGGCGCAAACGTGGCGAAGGGCCGCCGAAGAAGGCAAAAAGTGCACATTTGGCCGGCAAAGTAATGGCGACGGTTTTCTGGGTTGCGAAGGGCATCATTTCCATCGACTACTTGGAAAAAGAAAAAACAATCAATGGTGAGTACTACGCAGCATTATTGAATCGATTTGATGCCGAATTGCGTCGAAAACGCCTCGGTTTCAAACGCAAAAAAGTGCTCTTTCACCAAGACAATGCACTGGCTCACCGATCGGCCATCGCCATGGCAAAATTACACGAATTGGACTATGAATTGGTTGAACACCCAGCGTATTCCCAGATCTTGCCGCCAGCGATTTTTTCCTGATTCCAAACCTAAAAAAATGGCTCGGAGGACGCCGTTTCGCAACAAATGATGAAGTCGTCGCTGAAACTTCGGCCTATTTTGAAGAGCACAAGCAAAAGTACTACTAGGATGGGATAAACTAAGCTAAAAGGGGACTATGTTAAGAAATAAATCGATTTAATTCTAAAAAACTTGTTTTTTCTATCAAAGTCTACTTCTATATCAATCCACCCTCGCATTACAATATTATATGAATTAATATAAATATTGTTAATTTCTTGTATTATTGTAGGTCAGAAACACTGCTGCGGTAATTTTGATAGATATTTCTTAACTTATACCATAATAGTTTAAGGATGAATAATGCTATAATTAGTCAATTAAATTAATAAGTTATTCTTTTGAAATGACCGAAAAAATGTCCCATTGCAGTAAAAAATAGTAAACAAATATTAAATCGGTCACTAAATAATAAATAAAAATAGTGTTTCTCAAGAACTAAACCAGTTGGAATTTTCTAATTACCTTCTTATTTCTGTTGTGACAATCCATATACATTCGCCTCGTATAATTGTTCATTGTTGCTATATAACACGGTAGAGACGTGTTATAAATAATTTCTTTTGGTTCATTGGAGTATATATTACTAAATCTGCCTTTGCAAGCTTCTTCTCCATCATTTGTCGCTAGGAATAGTAAATTTGTGTTTGGAATTTTATCAATAACGTAAGGCCTAAAATTTAAAATACATTTACTAATTAGATGTCAATAATTATTTGGTATAAATCATTTTTGTCGCATATTATAAATTTTGTCTACCTTCGGCTATTAGCGGCATGACTCTAATTAACAATTAAATTTTATAGCGTATTAATAAATTTTAAGTAATCAATTAAGTTGTTTTTCTAAGATAATTAGTGACGTTTCAGTAATTAATAACAACTAAATTTTCTATAGAATTTCAATAAAATCGAAGCGATCAATTAAAATTGTGTATAGCAAATTTTAAGTGATCAATTAAGTTGTTGCTGTAGCAATGTTATTGTAATTAAAAACTATATTTTTTGTAGCTTATTAATAAATTTTAAGTATTAAATTAAGTATGTTAAGTTGTTTTAAGATAATTAGAAACGTTACTGTCATTAAAGATTAAATTTTTTGTAGCATATTAATATATTAAGTTGTCAATTAAGTTAATTTTATAATATAATAATTAGTGATAATAACATAATTAATAACCAATTCAATTTTGTGTAGCGAATTAATAAACTTTAAGTAGTTAAATGTTTTCTTTCTAGGATAGGGTAATGGGGGACAACTGGACCCGGGGGTGTCTGGGCCATACCTTTTTATTCTCAAACTGTAAATATATTTAAGGTTTTTGCTGTTAACTGTACTGCAAAAATGTGCATTCCCTCCAAAACACTAATTCTAACCATCATAGTACTTTTGGTTGCTGCGATAAGTCGAATTTAAATTCGTAGTTTTTTTTATGGTTTCAGAACCATCCTTGTCTATCATACAACATATTTCCCCATTTTCTCCACTCTTCATATATACATCACATTCCTGTCCATTCTTTTCTCTTTCATTATTTCTTTATTTAGATTTTTATAAACCGAATTTAATACTACCAAAATGGATTTTGTTCAGGGTGCTAGATGCTATAAGCATGTAGGACCTCTATTATCCCTAATTGTTGATTAACTCTTTTTCTCCTTTAACCGTCCCCTTCTTCTTCAGTCATTTCCTTTACTTTTATTCTCATCAAGTCTCTGAGGAGCTCAGCCTATTCAATTTTAAATTTAATCACATAGGTTATAACTTTAATTTCTTCAGCCAGTAGATTTCTAACCCCTTTTTTCAATTTATTAAACTTACTTTTATTAACTTTTTCACCATACGAGCAGTCTTAAACAAAGTCATTTAAATACGAGGTCTTATATTAGCTTCAAATATTTCCTATTCAAACTTTACCTTGTCCTAGATGTGATAAACATAAAAGGATAATTTTCATATATCTAAGCTAATCTAACATAAAATACACTTTTAGACCACATTCCATACGACAAAAAGTAACAGGTTGCCTAATGCACATGTCATTTTCTTAAACATGACTTTAACCACCAACAGTAATTCCACATCTTTTATACCCTACATTAATAAATAAAAAGTTTTTAAATCCCAACACCTGGATTGCTGTTATTATTTTTAATATCATTAAAAAATTTTTTTTTTAATTCTTTTGGCTGTAGTAATACTATGTATAACTAATATAGTTTCATGTTACATTGACATTTTGTTTTCGACACCGTTCATAGGTATCTTGTCAATCAGTTACCAGCTGTAGTCCGTTTGAAGATGTTTACTCTCCGGACACTGGAACTCACTTCAAGCATCAATGTATGTTACCTGAAGTCAAATTTAATTTAATATTTAACATCACAGTTTTATAACAACAATATGTACAATCTTTTACAACTAAATGTAATTTAAAGTGTTTTTACCCTGGTATTTTGGTGGCTCAGGCATTTTAACCTAGTAATTATAACCATTTTTGCTTTTTAACCCTAGTCAAAATTTTAAAACCATGTTTACCTTAACTAAATGGTTTATACTTATTTTAGGCAATTTTAAACCTGATGATGGATTGTTTAGTCCGAAAACGTTTGTTTTTTTGATGTAGCCCTTTTAAGGGTTTTTAAATAAATATACCGATTTACGAAGATTAAACTCTTTTTTGTAAATTTTATTGTCTTTATTGCTACGTGACTAGTTTAGTTGAAAGAGTGAGCATGTACAGTCAAATTGATACAGAAAAGTTTTCTAAATTAATCAATATATTAAGTTACTATACTAAGCCACTAGCTACGTGAGAATGATGCTTAAGAAGACTGTAGAAATGTTTAATAAGATTTAGGACTTACCAACTGCATTGAAATTTTGTTCCTTCTACAAAATGACTAAATGGAAATTTGGCACTAGTATTTAAGTTAAACAACCATCTTTCTTGATCGCAGGGCGTTGGCACTGTTTTTTCTATTATTAGTTTAGCAAAGTTTATATACTCCTCTTTAGTACTGTTATAAATTTCATCTTCTTGACCTGTCACTACATTAACGAGAAGATAAAATGTAGTCACAATCCAATCTTTTAAAGCGAAGAAATGATTCATTATCTAAAAAAGTAGAAATGATTTGTTGTATTTTAATTAATCTAATTAATCTTAACAATTAAAAACTTAATATATATGTAAATACTATACCAGGGAAATATCTAATAGCTTTTCGTGAGTTCTATTAACTATATCTCTATTGTAACTTGCTGTTTGTGATATTTGTAATTTTATTACATCCAAGTCTTACTTATTACTGGATATCCAGTTCTGGGTTCTTGTAAAGTGGACTCCTAAGTAGGACAAGTAAGTCAGGCTTTCTACATAGAACATCAGGCGGCCAATATTTGAAATTATTTGTTAAAGGCCTTTGAATATTATGATCTGGGTTTTTTTATGTATAATTTTACATTTTTTAAATTTTTTACATTTAAATTTATGTATAAAATAGGTTTGATTAAAATGTCAAAAGAAGCATTTGGAAATGTCAGTTGAAAGAATGCAATGAAATTTCATTTTTTAAATTTCATTAAACTGACATTTCCAAATGCTTCTTTTGACATTTTAATCAAACCTATTTTGTACATAAATTTCCGTATTCTCAGTAACACATTTTACTGTAGTTATTCGCCAAATTTTCGTGAAATTCAACCAATTAATTACCATGGCTTTCGTTTGTCCGTCAAAAGAATCCGCCGAACAGAAATTAAAAGATATGAGAAACATTAGGGATGCAATCGAAACTTTGGAGAAGTCCATGGTAGTGGGTGTAAAACAGCTGTGTGTGCCTACGCTTCAACCGATTGCAGATTATCCAACTCCCACGAAACCATGCAATCATTGTTGCACTGCCCATCCACACCCGCATACAGAACCAAAACAACACACTCCGGACGTTATGGTCTGCTACAAAATTTGTCCATGAAATGTTCCTGAACCCAAAGGATTACCAAAAATGCGATGTGTCGATAGAACAAATAATCTTAAGGCTACAAGAGACTTTGGCAGTTCTCTATCTAGCTACCAAATCTGATAGCTATAATAAATGTCAATAGGGATGGTGTATGGCTGATGGCTCCTGATAATACATATTAAATCTGTCATCTGCCAAAAACTTTTGACCGGTTATTATTAATTTGTAATGTAAAGAGGTAATATGACGAAGTCAGAACTACAACAGTGTCCAGAATACTTGAGGCTCATGCTTCGAGTAGATGAGTCACCCACTGTAGAGAATATTCGAGGTTTCACCAGAAGTCTAAGCGTTGTGGTAAAATGATCTGTTTTGAAAATATTTCGACTGCTAACCTAAATTATTTCGAATTTTTTCACATACCTACATTTTTAAAAGGCCGTTTTTTGTTTTGGAGAATTAGCTATTAGTAAAAGTTGTGAATCAATATTAAAATAAATGTAGCTGATTATGCCACTATTTCACGTGAAAGTTGTTCATGCAAAAAACTGTCACAAATAAACATTCTTATTAAATATTTCCACTTACTTTTACAACAGTAGGCGGAGCAGAACTCTTCACAGGTCTGGCTTTAGGTTTTTTTGCCGCCATCCTCTCTTTTCTTTTCCGAATGCGCACAGCTTCCGGTTCTTTTTTGGGAGGAATCTTTTGGCAAATTGCTTGATAATCAAACATTCTTGTTGGTATGAAAATTTGATCATCGATGAGATCGGACAGAATATCTGGTCGGATATCTCCGATATATCTTCCTATATATTCGGGTTCATCGCTTAGAACGATGTAGGCGTTATTGTCTAGGATATAGCAGTTTAGATCTTTGTGCTTGCAGGTTATTTTACATCGAGTTTCTTTGCACTAAAATAAGAAATATAAACATATTATATATATATATATATATATATATATATATATATATATATATATAAGAAATACTGGACTATACCAATATTCTGACTACAACCCTAATAAACTGTGTTATTTGTATATATATATATATATATATATATATATATATATATATATATATATATATATATATACAAGAACTACTATTAAATTCAACAGTTTTTTGGGTTGAACCGCGTCGATTGACACTGCGCCGAGCTTTCGACATCCTCTTTGATGTTTTCTTAAAGGCTTTCGCAATCTCAGTCCCTCCACTGATCACGTACCAATGCATTACTGGTACTGATAACAGAGCACGGTTCTATGGCTTCTCGGGTAATTGTTGGTTTATAGAAGCGGATGGGGACTATGGTTCTGAAGTTTTCAAAATCAATTTTATGATTTGTATGAAAAATGGTGTTAACCTAGAGCTGCAATAGAGTCGAAATTGTGAACAGATATGGGATGTTCATAAATCCCATTTTGGATTCTACGATTTGTTTGGCGTATATAGGATCGGGGGCAGTCTGAATAAGGAATTTCATAAACATTTGGAATGATATCTTTGAATGCAATCTTTGATAGATTGGACAAGAGATGAAAAATTTTGGTGGAGGTAAATATAATCTTTATATTCCCCTTGGTTAAGAAAATTTGTCGATTTTGTCAGTGACCCTTTTTATATAGGGAAGAATAGCTTTCGTATGATAAGGGTCTAAGTCTTTGGGTTGAGATTGAGCCGGAGATTGATGTTTGTGGATGCTCCTATTGATGTGATTTTCGCTGTAACCGTTTTGGATGAATGCTTGTTTTAAACTAAACAGCTTAGCGGGTCCAGTTACATAATCGCAAAGGTGTATTCATCCGGAGACTGAATTAATTTTGTATTTATGTATTTTTTTAATTTGTATACAATTGTAATTATTGTATTAATGACTGAATTAATTTTTGAAGGTGGATGAGTTAGCATGCAAGTAACAATTGGTATGGGTGGATTTTCGATAAACAGAGTAATGAAAACCTTGGGATCAGTTTTTCTTTATAATAACATGGAGAAACGGTATGGATGAATCAGTTTCTACCTCTAACGTAAACTGGATTCTAGGATGTATACCATTCAGATTAATTTGAAAGACATGAAAGCATCCCTGTCACATTTTACACAAACATATTGAGTATTACTGGAGATAGTGGGGAGTCGGAGTGTCGGGAGTCTGTAGAATTGATTTAGGAAGATGAAATAGGTCTTGGACATACAATGTTTAATGAGAGATAAATGGTCTTGCTGGATATTGTACTTAGTTTTCAAAATGTTTAGAGTTTCGTCTAAAGGAATGTTTGTAAAGAGTAAAATGACATCAAAATTTACTAGAATGTCTGACGGTGAGATAGGGTTTTGTATAAGAAGTTCGATGAAATAAAAAAAGATTACCGAAAGGTACTGCAAAACTGCTGTAGTGAAAAGTTAAGTTTAGATTGATTTACACCCTATCTTACATCGATCATTTTTATGACAGGGCAAGCTTTTTATGACGTCAGCGAACTGAAGAATCCTCTCCCTTCAAAAACTCCACATCCACGTCATCTTTAACATTGATCTTTGATGAATTTAAGGATTCATCAGACGAAAAGGATATCCATATGACCTATATTAAAATTAAATTATACTTTCGACGGAAGATTAAACCCAATATGGATATTTTACACTTCAGATTTTTTTCTTGTTTATTTTTTATTTAGCGTATGGATAATTACAATACGATAAAAGTAGTATTTAGATAATAATTATGTTCAAATTGGAATTGTAACCTAAGTAAAATATTAAATATTATTGTCCAAATTGCACAGCCATTCAATTGCACCAGGAGAACACTCTGCAAAATCTTGAAGGTCTCCGCTGTATCTGCGGATTGGGCAATCCGCCATGATGTGTTGGATGGTCTGTCTCGGGGATCCACAATCACATTGTGGGCTTTCTGCATGACCCCATCGGTATAGAGAATCGACACATTTGCCATGACCCGTGCGTATGCGATTTAATTTTGTCCATATAGGGCGTGGCAGGTTTGATCCAGTGAAGCCGATCGACGTACTTGTTATTTTGATGACGTCTGGCTCTGTTGTTGGCATCCATCTTGTCGTCCACTGCTCTTGCTTATTGTAGCTATCACCCATTCCCTGAACGGATTAGACAGGGATTCGTCTGGACTTCAGTCTTTGTTGGTCTCGTGCGGCGTGCGGAATATACTGGTGAATTGGCAGACGATTATTTGCCATGATTTTCTGATATTCTCTGACAAGTGCTGCCGTTCGTCGAATATCTGGAGGTGCTATATTCCTCAGAATTGGGAGCCATCTTAGTGGAGTTGATTTAATAGTACCAGATATTACTCTCATAGTGTAATTTAGTTGAACATCAATCTTGCTGACATGAGCGCTATTTAGCCATACCGGTGCGCAGTATTCAGCGACAGAATACACCAGGGCCAGTGAGGAGGTTCGAAGTGTATCCGCAGTGACACCCCATGTCGTTCCAGCAAGCTTTGTTATTATGTTGTTACGGGTTCTCACTTTGGCAGCTACATTCGTAAGATGGGTTTTGAACGTCAGTGATCTGTCGAGCGTTACACCCAGGTATTTAAGGTTGTTATTATGTTTCAAAATCTCGCCATTGAAGGTGATGCTAAGGGTGTCATCCGAAAGCTGATTTGTGAGATGGAAGAGGCTTGTCTCAGTTTTGTTTGTATTAGGGCGAAGTCGCCATTGTTTAAAGTAGTCGCAGAGAACCCTTAAGTCTTCGGTAAGCGACCTTTCTCCAACATCTTTGGCTTGGTTTTGAAATGCGATAGCCAGGTCATCTGCGTAAGCATTTTTTTTTTATTTTGTCTCTGGAAGATCGGCTGTGTAAATGTTAAATAATAGTGGAGCAAGCACTGAACCCTGTGGGAGGCCATTATTTAGCTTTCTGACATTGCTCTTTGTATCGTTTATATACACTTGAAACAATCTGTTGGTTAGGAGGTTATTGATTAGTTGGTAGGTTTTCAGGCATGGTATGACCTTCATTAGCTTGTAGATCACACAGTGTCATATGCAGCCGTCAGATCTTTAAACGTTACGGCTGTTTTTTCCCGTTTTTCGAAACCGGCTTCAATAAATGTCATTAAGGACAGTACTTGATCACTACAACTACGCCCACTTCTAAATCCGGCCTGTTCGACTTTATATCCTGTTATATATAAGTCGCTCTAGTAGTTTGTAGCAGCAACTGATGAGGACAATGGGTCGATAGTTTTCGGGTAGTTCACCGTCCTTTCCAGGTTTTAAAATTGCAATAACTTTGGTTCTTTTGAACTCTGGAGGTAGTACAGATGTCTTCATTATGTCACTAAAAAAGTCTTTGAGCCAGTATCGCGTTTTTGGACCACAGTGAATTAGGAACTCAGGATACATTCCATCGAAACCTGCCGCTTTGCCTTTTTTAATTTGACTGAGGCCATCGTTTATTTCGTTCAGAGAGAAGCATCTTGAAAACTCTGAAGTAGGAGGAGTGTTTGTCTTAAGTTCTTTTAGAGCTTTTTTTGTAGACGTCGTATGGATTTTGTCAGAGGGGGCACGCGATACTTCAACTATTCTGTTAGCTATCCTTTTCTTGTGCCAACCGGCTAGTAGACAAGCTATATTGAAGTTATTATACGATAGTTTAGGCAAATTATTAGTTTTGAATACTAATTACAGTTTGGTTTTAAAGTTTAAAGTTTAAAAATAATTCAAGTTTTTTTAAGAGATTTTACTTTTGACAGTTTATTTTTTCAAATTAATATTATAGATGCATAAATACGGTTGAAAAAATGAACTATTAAATTTAAAGAAAAACCCTAAGACGTAAGTCGATATTTGCTTACATTAGCATTAAATTTGGTTTAAACTTAATTTATGTATTTTATCTGACGTTGCTCGTGACTCACGCGTGGATCATGTGTTCGTGAGCGCAATTCCATTTAGGAGCTCACATGATATTTAGGTGAAACTAAGTAACCGTGAGCCAACGTGAGTTGAAATAAAAAGCCACCCACTTGCCCATCCGTAATGATATTAAAGACTAAGCTACTAGTAAACCATCAACAATATATGCCTAATATTTCAACAATTGATAATCTAAAATAGAGCTATAGGTGGGTAGATGTGCGGTATAGTTTAGATACAACCAAGGTACTACAATTCTCTAGATTAAGATTTTATTGAGTGGACTTTTTATTATATTTCATACCTGAGTTGTAATATCATTGTACCATTCATACATTTCTCTGTGATTGAATTGAAGTCCTACAACCGCCACCGGACTCTTAAGATCGCCATTCTCCACAAATATAGCTTTGGTACTCGTAATCATGGTATTATTTTCATAACCTTAAACATAAAAATACAGTGGGTAGAAATAATGAATGACATAATATAATTGATTGTTTACAAATTATTAATTGAAAAATTAATCCTGAAATATAACAAAACATTCTTATTTAGTGTATGGTAATTGAATACACAGCATATTACAATTTATTAACTAAATCATTTAAGTATTCAATCGAAGCTAGTGTCACGTAGGTACGAAGTCCAATAGATCTCCATTAGATTTTCTTAAATGGCATTCGTATGCTAGATAGAATGACTATCAGCGTCACAGTCGCATTTAGCAGAGATTCTCATCTTTCAATTTTAAAATTTCTGTAATACATGGAATGCATCATTATTGGGTTAGGCCTGTCGCGTTGTATGTTTCTCCAATGTGGGATCATTTGGATATTCTTGGAACTCAAATTTATTGCATGACTTGTCGGTGGTATTCTGGAGCGAAAGCTATGTGAGTTGGCGTTTGCGACATCTCCGCGTTATTGATAATTGGATTGTTAAGTATTATTTGGAACTTTCTGAACAAAGTATGTAGCCAATGGAGATCAGAAGGAGGTATGTGGCTTAGCAGTGAAGGGTAAATTATCTCGCGTGTGCAGAATAATTCTACATATGCCCCCTTGGTTCAGACTAAATGAGCTACAACGAACAGGCACCCAAACTATCCAACGATCTCTTGGAAAATACATGCCCGCAAAAATGAAATAATATTTATGACAGGCGTCAAACAAGGATGCACATTGTCACTCCTATTACTATTAATACTTAAAATCTTTGATATATAAACATATCGAATGATTTTGAAGATTTCATAGATAGATACAAACGATGAAGTGTTGAAATTAAGAAGAAAGAAATAGTTAAAAGAAAAATATCACGAAGAAATCTGCAATATCTCTCTAATAATAAATAATACTTAGACAAAATTACAGCATTTTGTAGCTCAAATTCTAAGCCAAATTGGGAAAAAGTTGAGGGCAACTGTTAGTAATAAGTACTGGTATAAAAATCAATTCTAATTAATATTGTAACAAGCTCACTGAGGATAATTCCACTTTACATATGTATCATTGTTCCTCAATGTGCAAAATATAAGAATATAATTTCTATTAAATTTTAAATATCACCCATGAAGTTGGGGAGAACCTGAACTTTCCAAACTCTCCCACACAGAGCGGCTATAGACTGTCCAGAGTATCTCCAACCTACTTTCAGACAATTCATTGGAATGCACATTGTTTAAAAAGAACTTTCTCCATTAGAAATAATAATGCCAATGAGTAAAATTCTGAACGATAATAACTTGCGTAATATGTTGTTACGTACCAGATGTTTCCCATGGAACTGAATATATAAACATACTTTCGTCCCCGAAATTCAATTCCACAGCTCTCCGATACCAATCCTCATCTATAGCTCTATTATTCCTCTTCTCAAAACTATCTTCATCTTCTTCCCTAATATTATTGATATCTTCAAAGTTTCTCCATCTAGTTAATCCTGAATAAGTGGCTAAAAATACTTTGTGAACTTGATAATCTATGACGAATTGTTCTTCGACGGGATCGGACCCGCCATATTCGTCAAACCATTTTGTGGCTTCCATATCGTATAAAAGTGAAGTCAAAAGGGATGCTAAAAATAAAAAAAAATCATGCTATCAAAAAAGAGTGTTTTATTTTTTCAGATTTTTAGAATTTAAATTTCTTCTGCAGCTACTGAAGTTGCAAGCTTCAAGAAAAAAAGGTTTTTTCTTACAAAACTTAAATGTGTTGTTTAAAAAGCTTAGGTAGGTTAATTTCAATATTGTGATACAAAGTGAAAATTATTTAGAAGTTTTTAGTACCTACATAAATAGAATCTATTCTTTTATAAAATCTACAAAAACAGATGTATCTACAAATATTATAAGAGTAAATAATATCCATAAGTTTCTCTTTTTGGTCATATCAATATTCGAAGCGTCCCTCACAACAAATCTTTGTTGGTTTTTCTCCTTGTCTCTCCGACAAGTTATATATTCTTCCTATTTAGTAAAAGTTGTAGCGTACAATAAACCTGAATGGGTAAAAAGGAGAAAATTTTAAAAGACACAACGGCGAGCATTGCGAAGTGGGGTAGCATATCTAGAGTGAAGGGACTGAAACGGGATACGGGGTCGGAACGGGCCGTACAAGTCACAAAGAAAGTAAAAAAAGAGAACCATACTTACTAGAGAGGAAGTATCTAAAAAAATTAAACTAAATAAACTGGAAAATGACAATAAAAAATATAAAATAAAAATTTACCTTGATCGTGGGCATATAGTGATATGTATGTCGAAAATTTATCTTTTATTATTATCTACATACACTGATTATTACATTTATAGACATAAAAAAATACAAAATATAAAAAATATACCCCTGATTTACTGTTTCACCTTTTTTACCACTTTACTATTATAGATACTCTGAAGGGTACATTAAGAAACTTTCAGGTTTCGTTAATCTTCTTTAGCAAAGAAAGAAAAATATTAAAAATAATTTTCAATAATTTTTTTTTGTTGTTTTCATCTCCACACCTTTGCATTAACGGTTTCATGACTATATGAACTGCTTTTCAAAAATCACCATTCGACACCATGGAATTCTGGAATTTTGGAATTATGGAATTCATGTACTCTGTCAGGTCGTTTCATCACTTTCACCAACAACAAGATGAATTAAGAAACCCATAAAAATTTAAAATTATGTATTAAAATAAACTTAACTTACAGTTTTCATTCAAGCTAAATGCGGACCTTACTTTGTCTTCTGGGGTATCACCTACACATTTTTTACAGTATATCCTAAAATACATTTAAAATACTAAATTTAGTTTCATATACGTTCAATCACGTTCATAACATAATTGATACGTTACCAATCTGGATGTACTTTCCAGTAGGATGAAGCTAAAGAAGAAGCACTGCTTTTCACACTGGGGCGCTCTAACAAAGTTTTATTAACAATGTCAAATCCGTATTTATGTGGCAACACAACGCAGAGTGTAAAGGGTCCAATGGCAGCAAAATAATAGTGTCTGTGTGCAAACATCAACCGTTTCTGTCAAATAAGAAAAAATACAAATTACCGACAAAATTAAAATATAATAAAGAATTTTATAGAGTATATTAATATTCAACAAAATAGATTAGATGAAAGAATTTCAAAAATACGAAGGAAATTAATATTGCAATTTTATTTTATCTATATTATGTGGTCCAATAAGCCGATCTCTCGACCAGAAACTATTCATGTTATAACTTTAGGAGAAAAAATTCCTTAGTAAAAGTGGTCAAGAGAAATCGCTGGAAATAACTTTAAGTTTCTGGGTAAACCGCTAGGGGGCGTAACCGGTGAAGAAAAATTTGAAAACCATTTTTTTGTGAAATATGCCCAATTATACCAAGTGTTAAATAAGTAAGCTAGAAAGAGGCCTAAATTCCTCACAAAGTTGGTAGAGTACTTTTTTTAATTTTTTTTCAAATAAAGGTGGGGGAGAGTGGCAAAGTATTTGTGGATAAATACCTATAACTTTGGTTTGGATCAACCGATTTTAACGAAATTGGTGTTATGAGAAAGAGTGTGGATGATTTAATTTACATCTACTGTAAAACAATTGTATTTAGTTTGAATTGTTATGGGTAGAGGGTACTTTCGGATAGAAAAAATTAAAATTTGTTTTTCTTCAAAATGTTTAATGGAAACACATATTTATTGTAAATTATAATGGAACTGGATTAAATTCTTAACAAAATGGCGCAAACCGCATGTTGATAGCTTTTGTCGAACTTGAGATATGAATAAAGACGCATAAACATAAGTAAGTATAGTATTAAAAAATATTAATACATTCCAACTAATGTGTTCACTTACATTGTCATTTAAAGCATACTTGACTTTTAGAGTTACGTTGACACTGCTTTCCTGGTTAACTAGTTTTTGTCGAAACTGAAAATAACAACAAAATTATTAGTTTTTAAAAAGTTGACATGGAGTAGATAGCGATGCATAGGAGGATAGCCTACAAAACAGGAAGAAATGAGAAGGATGGGTAAGAAATATTTAAAAAGAATAAAAAACTTACAAATTTACAAAAATAAAAGCGAACAAAATTCAATATTAGAAAGGAGAAAAAATGAATCAACTAATTCTAATAATATAGAATCTAACAACAAAACAAATAAAGTGAAATTAGAATAACAGAAGAAAAAATAGGACGTACGATAAACTAAACAACAATTAAAAAAGAAGCAAAAAGAGAGGAATTAAAATATACAGAACAAAGATACATAAAAAGATACCTGACAGAGTACGATCACTTTGTCGGAAGGGAGAAAAATTCACTATAGGTATCAGCAAAGAATGGAAAACTTTTAGGAAGAAGAAAATAAGGAAGACTTTAACCAAATCCTCAAGGAAAATAAAATTCCTGTGATTGGTTATATACCATAAATCACAAAATGTTGTTTTATCATAACAAAACGTTTTCGTTTTTACTATTCCATCATCAGTGTATTATAACCAGGTGTACATGAGTCAAGCCACTAATTATATGGGTAAAATACCTTAAAAAAACACAAAATTTGTTATTTATTACATCTTTGTTAAAAAGTTGGTATGAAGTTTTTAACAGATACCGGGTATGGCAACGTAAGACTCTCAATGGAGTTGCTGACCCTGAGACGATGTCTCTGTACGGGCTCTAAATGGCAACTCTAAAAGATGAACTTTGAATGCAATGTATCAATGATCATGTACATATTTCCTATTTTTTGTAAGGTTAAAACTCCAGGAAATGTTCCAGTCAATTCAAAGAACACGTTCAAACTTAAAATTATATTTTCGTTTGCAAGTTAAACATTTAGATTGAAGATTTTCTATCCGACAGATACTTCAGGGTTCGTGTTGGGAAACACCACTCACTAGATATCGCCAGTCAAGATTGGAGTCTCACAAGGATCAGTACTTGGACCGCTACTTTTTTGTGTCTACACTAGTGATCTTCCGCCCATCGTATCCAGTAAGGTTTCCATTTACGCTGATGACACGAAATTATATGGGAATCCAACTATTAACCAACATGTTCTTCACCAAGATCTTGAGGCAATATTCAAATGGTCCTCAGAATGGTTATTTACGCTTAACATTAAAAAAATGCGTTTTTACATATTGGAAAAAACAGCCCATCACTGCCGTACTTTATTAATGGATATCCCTTAATTAACAGTGACTTAAATTGGTCTAATCACATATAGTGTCAGTGTGTAAACGTGCTAACTCGAAACTGTTTTTGATCCGTAAATGTTTTACACGTATATCTCTAAGCTCTGTTAGTAAACTTTACTCAACATACGTTAGACCTATTGTTGAGTTTGCCAGACCAGCGTGGAATCCAGATCTCAGTCGTGATAAAAACCTACTTACTTAACTATGAAGATAGACTTATCCATGGCTCATCTTACATCATTCGAGCAATGAGGTCTTCGAGGTGACCTAATTATGTCCTTCCGTATTTTAAAACATAATTTTGGTAACCTAAATACCATATTGTTACGTAAAAATTAGTCATATTGAAAAAAACCTGTAAACATGTTGTTTATATCTTATATGTTCTACATTTTACCTGATGGTAGAAATTCCAGGTAAAACCTACCTGATACGATGGGTCCCACTCCGATATGAAAGCGGTCAACTACCAATCGAACTTTCGGGAAATAGGCCGCTATAAAAAAACCAGTTCGAGACTATTCAGGTCAACTTCCATCTGCTTCACGAGAGATCCTATGCTGACGGCATTTCGTATAAATACCAGGATTTTTATTGCGGGGAATCCAGTTAGTCAGAAGATAAATTCGCGAACGGGTATTTTACAATGTAACGGTCGTATTCAAATGAATTAAGTAAGATAAATTCGTACAAATAAACTTTAAATAAATTAAGTTTGTGTTGAACTTTTAGTAAATTAAAAATAAAATAAATAAAAACATAATAATATTCACTTTGAATCAAGACGAACGATTAAGAGGTCATCGATACAAATTAAAGAGGGAACAAACTACTGTAAGGTCCAGGGTGAACATCTTGCCAAATAGAATCTTTAATATATGGAACAATTTGGATCAAGACACCATATCGGCAACTAGTGCTAACATCTTTAAATATAAGCTTGATAGCGCTTTATTTTATTTATAGTTTTTTTTTCGGTCAGCATTATTTATTGATTTATCGTCTCATAATGCAATTTTTGTATGATATAAAGGGTTTCCCAATAGAGACGTCCTGTGTTTGAAGTGTCATAGCGACCATTTTGAAAATGGTAGAACTGTCACTTGTTGACTTTTGTATTTAGTATATTCTAACAAATTACTCTGGCAAGATATACGCTTAAACAAGGTTTGAAAATTATCTTAAAATTTTATGCGAATAATCGTTCTTTTGTGAATACCTATTACGTGAAAGTTATGGATCAAATCATCGTCCTGATATGCGTGTAATTCGTCAAATCGTGGAAAAGTTTGAACGTGAATTTAATCTGCACGATACGAAACCACCAACTAGACGCCGAAATGCAAAAACTCAGGACAATATTGCTGCTGGATAATGCAAATATGTCCGTAAATCGTCGTTCTCAAGAACTTGGACTCACCAGAATGACAACTTGGAGAATTCTGAGAAAAGATTTAGGCCTACACCCTTACAAGATTGTTCTGATGTAAGAACTGAAGCCACTTGACCATAATAAGCGTTGTTTGTTCGCTGATTGGGCTCTAGACAAACTCGAAAATAATGGCGATTTTTTCAAAAAAATAATCTTTTCCGATGAAGCTCATTTTTAGTTAGTTTTAGTTAAACGGCTTTGTGAATAGTCTTTGTGAAAATTATAGTTTTTGGAGTGGAAATAATCTACATGAGATTCTTGAGAAGCCTTTGCATCCAGTAAAAGTCACTGTCTGGTGTGGTTTATGGCATGGTGGCATCATCGGACCTTATTTTTTCGAACATGGTGTAACAGTCAACGGTGAAAGGTATTGGACGATAATAACGGATTTTTTGTGGTCTCAGTTGGATGAAATGGATTTTAATGGCATATTTTTTCCAACAGGATAGTGCCATATGTCACACTACTGCCCCAACCATTGATTTATTGGAGGAAAGTTCCCGGAAACATTGATTTCTCTTGATTCCAGAGATCCCAGGAGAATTCAGCAGCTTGGACCAGATGCTTGGCCTCTAAGAAGCTGCGATTTGACACCGTTGGATTATTTTTTATGGGGCTATGTTAAATTATTGGTCTATGTGAACAAACCAAAATCTATTGAAGACTTGAAGAGTAACATAAAGCACACCATTCGTGGGATTAATGCGGATTTTTTGCATAAAGTGTCCGAAAATTGGGTTCATCGGATTTGCTCCTGGAAACATAGTCGCGGTGGACATTTGAATGATCTGTTATTCGGAACGTCATGGTTATCTATTATATTTTGCAATATTTTTTTTTGATTTACAGCAATTTTTACCGTTTTCTTTAAAAGAAAACTTCAGAAGATTCTTATTGGGAGACCTCTTACTTAATTGTGTAACTTTACTTAACTTTATAATTGGTATTAGCTTTATAAGGATATTTTTTATTTTTGTTTTTTTTTGCTTCTTGGGTATAATAGGAGCTCGCTCCTCTGCCCTTATTTGTAATATAGTAATAATAATTTATGAAGAGGCAAAAATATTTCAAAAGAATAAAAAAGAATTTTGAATTTAACCAATACAGAAATTTTATAAAGTGATTTAATTATTTTTGATAGTTCATATTTAATTATGGTAGCTTACCTTAACTACTGAGTCTCCAAACGATCTCGGTTCTTTATCGTCATTTAGAATCTCTACTTCCAGAATATCCACTCGGTTAAATGTAGGTTTTAAAATATACTGAAACTAAAATAACAAAGTTCTTTATAAAATCATCTAAACAAAAACTTCATTTATAAAGTATGTAATAGGTTAGATATAATTTATCATATATAAAATCTTTCAGAAGTTATGATTACAAGACTTTCGAAATTTGAAATCACAAAAATCGACAGTCGTCCAAATGTAACAGTTCTTTTTCCCACATTTCTTCCCATATAAAATAAACAATACAATACATACCTCTGTATGATGATCCGGATGTGTAAGAATATATCCGTTATTGGTAACAATAAAAGCGTAACCATTCACCCCTAACTAAAATAAAATTTGTTATCATAAGAAAAAAATATGTATGTTAAGTTCTTACCCTTTCGTATGGGATTAGCTGTTTAAATAAACTTAAAGGAACATCTATACCTGCTACTCCCAACAGTTGATACTAAAAGATCGAAATAATACGTTAACCTATTGTTTTAGAAAAATTTTAAAATCTTTTTAAAACTCTAAGGTGTACAGAAGCATATGTCGACATGTGCTTCTGTATACCTTAGTTAGCTCAATTCCTACAAAATCACACAACTTATATAATTAAAACTTGTAGCATTTTAGTTTCACCCCGTATATCATCAAAAAACGAAAGTGATTCTTAATCTTTTTGCATTTTTAAGATTGGTAATGTGCATTGAGAGCATTGTAAGACAGAGAACTACAATTAAAATACAAGATGTGTAACTAGCAAGAGGGCCATCATATGGCACCGATCATCATCCGCTAAAAGTTAAAACAGTATTTCCAAACAGATACGACAAAGAAAAAGAGCACATCGAGTCAAATCAGTTAATAAAACAAGTACGGTACAACCTAGACAGTTTAAACCATGAGAGTGTAAAGCTTCTGTATAAAATACCAAAAAACACCACGAACACATCAAAAGGTCGATTAATTTAGCAGCAGAAGAAGCACTGGGGAAATGTGACGAAAACCATAAAGGAATAAAACCGTACTGGTGGCATGAAGAAGTAGAGAAGGAAATTAAAGATAAACGTGGGAAATAGAAAACATTCTTAACAACAAAAACAGAAAACGATAAAACAATTTACAAAAAAGCACAAGCCAAAGTAAGAAAAAGATAACTCAAAAAAGAACGAATAATGGGAACAGAACTGCCAAAAGATCAACACCTACATAGGAGGTAGAAGAAGCACAGATAATTGGAAATTGATTAAAAGTATGAGAAATAATAAGAAAAAAGACGTTATATCACCAATAATATAATATATTTCAAAAAATTACTAACAGAACAAAAACCAGAATTTATTAACATGGAAGACAACACGATAGGGATACGTATAAATTCATCAACATTACAAATAAGTAAATCAGAGATGGAAGAAATAACTAAATCCCTGAAAAATGAAAAATATCCTGGTCCTGGTGACATCTCTGCAGAATTAGTGAAAGCCGGTACAGACAAACTCCAGGAACAGTTAAGAAAATTCTTTCAAGACTACTTAAATGATGGCCGAATGGCCGAATTACCAAAAGAATGGAAATTATCATCATGTAAACTATCCACAAAAAGGGCAGCAAGGATCAGCGTGAAAATTACAGAGGAATTGCGGTAAACAGCACAATAAGTAGGATGTATGGGAAACTTATTAAGAACGAAATAGAAAATGACTATAGAGATTGAGAAGCAGAGGAGCAAGCTGGTTTTAGAGCTGGGCGATCCACAGTGGACCACTTGTACTCTATTACGCAAGTTATTGAAAAAAAAAACAGCCGTCAATAAAGAAGTTCACTTGGTGTAAGTAGACTTACAAAAAACATATGACAGTGTACCCCTCAGTAAACTTGGTCAACCCTACAGCAAACCAACATTAAACATGGTCTTATCAAAGCAGTCCAAAGTCTGTATAATGGAACGACTGCAAAAATTAAAACTGGATCAAGGATATCTGAAGGATTTAAGGTCACGAAAGGACTCAAACAGGGATGCTGTATTTTGCCTACCCTTTTCAAAATTTATCTGGAATAGGCACTCAAGCTCTAAAAAAGAAAATGTAATGGCATGGGAATCCTTCTCAATGACGAGACTACACTGTACACCTTATGTTTCGATGATGACCAAATACTGATTGCTCAGGATCATGACGACTTGAGTTACATGACTTGGAAGCTAATAGAAAAATATAACAAATGGAGTCTCGAGGTCAACATTAAGAAAACTGAAGCCATATTTATTGGAGGGACAAAGCAGTCCATTATATTAGACGATGGGATAGAAATTAGACACTGTGATGAATACAGGTACCTGGGTATGAAGATAACTCAAGATAGAACACTCACTGGTGCTATAAAAGACAGAAACATACAGGGTAGAAAAGCCATATCCATGATGACTGGCATTCTGTGAGACCAAATAATATCTTAAGCAAACAAACAACTCATATACAACACTATACTTAAAAGTGTAATCACATATGGCACTGAAGTTTGGCCAATGAAACAAAGAATAGAAAAAACTGTTACTAGCAATAAAAATGGACTTGTGGAGAAGAGCAGCAGGCAAATCAAGAAGAGATCGGATACCAAATGAGTGAATACGAGAAATGATTGGAGTCAAGCATACAATAGTTGATGAAATAAAAACAAAACAGTTAATATGGTATGTTATGTACAGAGAATGCTAGATGACAGGATTCCGAAACAGATTTTGACGTGGACACCACAAATGAGAAGGAAAAGAAGAAGGCCGAGAAGAAGCTGGAGAGAGGGAATTGAAAAAGAACTAGAGGAAAGAGAAATCCCTCCAGGCCTATGGTTAAATATAGAATAATGGCGGTCAGGAGTTAATTTAATAATTTTTTTAGTTTTGATTTGACATTGTTTTTTTTTTAAATCTAAAGGAAAAAGATGTTTCTGTTTATTTGACATGTTAGTTTGTTCATTGCAGGTTCACCAGACTATTATTGTAGAATGTAATTAAAATTATATTGCAAGAGAGCGCAAATCGGCCGATTAAGGAAACTATAGCAGTTAGATATTTCTATTATGAAAATTGCAAAGCGCAAACCGGTCGATTTCAGGTAAGGGCGCAAAACGGTCGAGCGCAAACCGGCTGTATTCCATTTTTATCAATGCTTCATGTTTTAAATAAATCGTAGGGTTTAGCAGTTTCGCTAATCTCATCTGGAATGATTTCGGCTTCACTTTTACCGCTTATTTCCATTTCTTGGCAAGAAAAACAAAAAGCTGAGCAAAAAAACGAATCTTAAATGACAAAGTGTTATCATAATAAAATACAAAGTTGATGTTATTGTCAAAGCCGTTACCTAGTTACCCAAAATCGTCCCGAAAGTAAAAAAATTAGTCCCGAAAGTAGCTACTACATAATAATATTCTAAACACCATACTTACTTCATGTGGTCTCCTTGCAAACACTGGTAAAGAAACTGTAGTCATATAATCATATGCAGCTTTATCTCTTTGGTAGGAAAGGTAAGTTTGATAAGTCTAAACATGACAGAAAATTATAAGTTATCGGAGCTGTATAAAACATCATATATCCGACATATATATTACTTACGTATTCCTCTTTTAAAAGCATGTGGTTCTCGCTGGTTAACATCAAATTCTGTCTAAAAATACCCCTTTTTATGTAATCTAAGAAAATATCTCTTTGTCGTATGCCCTCAAATTTTTTCCACAGCCAGTTTGACAGTCTTCTATCTGCAAGGTCTACGTGAAGGTAACTCCATATAAACGTTCGATTCTTATCAGCTTTTAAATTTATGGGACGGGACATAACATTTAGGTACTGCAGCATTTTCTCACGTATGTCCCCCATATCTGTCATATTGCCCCAATAACCTAAAAAGAAAACAAGCATTATCCTTCTTTGGCATTTTTTTTATTATTTCTTTAGTTTATTCTAGTGCTTGCGATACCACTGATGCTACTTAAAAAGTTTTTCTAGTTTTGGGTATTTCGTATACGTGAGAAATATGCATGCGCTTCTCCCTCATCCTTCAAATAATCTCTTATAAAAGGTATACTTATTTAAAAGAACCCTTTCGTGCTAAATAATAGAACGTTTTCGAAATCAATATTCCATCTTTAAGGAATGGCTTTCATGATCAGCCAACCATATTAAAACTATATACTTGCTAATTCAATTACATCTTAGATCTAAAGTTTTTGATGCATGCATTATTCCGATATTAACTTATGCGGCACAAACATGGACAATCACAAAAAAGAATATGAATATACTTAGAGTTACTCAACACGCGATGGAAAGAGCAATGCTAGGTATATCACTTAAGGACAAGAAAACAAACACATGGATAAGACAGAAAACCAAAGTCACCGATGTGGTGCAAAAAGCATTAAAGCTGAAATGGGAATACGCTGGACATGTAGCTAGGAGCGATCTAAACAAATGGCACAGATCAATTTTAACCTGGAGACCATACCAACACAAAAGACCCAGAGGCAGACCTCCTATGAGATGGACAGATGATCTGAAAAGAACTGCCGGGAAAAATTGGCTACAAGTAGCGTACAATAAAAAACAATGGAAAGGAAGACTTGAAGAGGCTTATGTTCAGATGTGGACGTGAATGGCTAGACGAAGAAGAAGAAGAAGACTTGCTAATACTGTGAATATCATGTGTTAATATAACACAGATATATCACTTAAACTAACGAGTCTTCAGAGAATAAAATTGACGAATTCTACACAGAAGATTAAAATTGAAGACTTTAATGTCAAAGTAAGTCTATTTATATGATAAAGAATAAAATAAACTTAATTAAAATAAAACTCTTACCCATATTTGAGCATGCAATCCATTCTAATTCTCTGGCATCGGTTGTATCTAGACCTAATTGATAAGTAAAAATTCGTACAGGAAAATTTTTCTTCCAATTTCTTTTAGCATATATTTCTTTATCGTAGTCATAATCAAGCCCTTCATGAATTACCATTATAGCCTGGTTGCAATTAGCACCTAAAGAAAAGTACAATTTATTGTCTTAAAATTACAATAAAAAAACATACAAAGAGTCAAGACACTATATCAAGATCAGTTTGTCAAGTTCCGTTCTACAGGAGAACGTTTTATCATAATGAAAAATTTACAAATATAAGTGGCAGATATTCATAATATTCAGATTGGTCAGGAATACAGTACAAAGATGTCTCGCTGAACAATATGTAAGGATATTAGCCAGAGCACTAGCTGTAAACTTAAATCATCATTTATGACAGATCAATCAGTATCATCACAGATGAATGGAGGTATTGCTGATACAGCTCAAATAGATGTGTAAGATTTTAAGATGTGTAAGTTCTCCAAACCTAATGTATACCGTGCCACAGCTCTTCAGCATTTTAAGTTTTAAAATTACGCTGATACAGCCGTTTTATAATATCCTCCGACTTAATGTCGATTGGGTTTAAATCTGGAGTGACTATTCTACACTGGGAAACATGATGTTTTGTAGAATATTCAAATGTCTACCCAACAAATCTACCATCAATACACCATACCATTCACATTCCTCTAGATGAAAGTCATCCCCATACATTGGCGTTAAAATGACCAGCTGCTCGATATCTATCAACATATAGCTTATTATCTGGTCTATACACCCCAATTTTCCCCTATTTAGAAGATTGAAAAATTTATTCATCTGTAAATATTACGCTGTTCCAAAAATCTTGATTTTGTAGCTGATGATTTAAAGCAAATACGTAATTTGCTTTTTAAAAGCAAATTGGCTTTTTTTAAGGTGGCTTTTTAAAAGGGGTGACGTATTAAATTAGATTCTTTTTTTAAAATATATCGAAGAAAATATCTAAACGTATATAGATCTTTTATTCAATCTGAAATTTTACAAAGTAGTCATGATCAATAGTATGAAAGTAACCTACAAGGAACGCTCTAGTATACACGGGATTCTGACGAAAATAAAAAAAAAACATAAAAAGATTAAAACGTGTAAGTATTTTAGCAAATATTAAAAATACTATTTGACTAGACGTATTTAGAATACATACTTGTTTGGGTTCTTCTAAAATTTTCTAAAATATCAAATGCCTTACTAATACCAATTGTTAAATTTGCTACAAACATTTCTTCATAAACGGGAATAGCCTGCCTTAATAATCTCAGATTTTCTTCGTTTGCCTAAAACAATGATTTCAACTTTTTTAGACTAATAAACCTACAATTAAATCATTGAAAATTTTTAGTTATCCCATACTACACTACGTTAATTGCAAGCCTTTAATGTTTATTCAATATCTTTAATTTTCAAGCTAAAAGTGTCAGAAAGGTACAAAATCAGGTATAAATGTTGCAAATAAACCTATTTGATACAAGCATAATGTTGAACACGCTTTATACTCCCGAACATACTGTATATTATGTTAATTTAAGTATCAAACCGGCAGTGAAACTGCCACTCGTCTAGTGAAGGTGTTAATGGAATTGAGCATTAGACTACAGAGTTTTAAACAATTAACCATATGATATATGAATATATTTGATGACTTAAGTATCAAACCGGCAGTGAAACTGCCACTCGTCTAGTGAAGGTGTTAATGGAATTGAGCATTAGACTACAGAGTTTTAAACAATTAACCATATGATATATGAATATATTTGATGACTTTCTGGTCTTATTTTAATTTATTTATTGGGTTAATGCCTCGACAACTATGATCATTGGCATGGTACAGTCAGGTACCTAGTGTAGTGTGTGTGTGTGTGTGTGTGTGTGTGTGTGTGTGTGTGTGTGTGTGTGTGTGTGTGTGTGTAGAGTAATTGTCTTGATACTTAGCAAAGTCGACGTCATTGTCTTTGCTAAGAAACGCTAATTGTATCGGAACGTCTGCGGTCCCTCTGGTGAGTACCGATCGCACAAGGATATAAATTATTTTCATTAATTAATTTATAATAAACAAAAATTTCTCCACCCAGATGAGATTCGAACTCACGACCTTTAGGTTTAAAGGTAGGCGCTCTTACCACTGAGCCGCAGAGGGGTTATTATTTTAATTTAAAAACATAATTTTGGTAGTTATGAGACCCGTAGTAACGTATATATCAGAAACATGGACTTTGACTTTGACTAGTGAAAAAGAGGAACAACTTCTTAAATGAGAAAAAAAAATTTAAGGAAAATATATGGAGCTATACAGGAGAATGGGGAATAGCGTATAACCCTCTGTAGCCCCGTGTGTACTAAAGGCAACAAAGGAGTTTTTGATGCAGAAAACTTTTTTAAAACAATTTCCGACTCTAAGATTCCCTCTGTTGATTTCAGGCAATATTTGGTTATACATTTTAATACACTTAGTGCCATTTATGAACCTATGACGAAACCTATATGGAAATTTTTAACAGTATGTTAAATGCACATGGCTGCCTTATTAGTTTGTATTTTCGATTGTGATTTATTGTTATAAATTGTGTACAATTTATATAAAAATACATAGAGGCAATATATCAGCATTGGGATATTGCTTGCCGTTGAAATTTGTTTATTTTATTGTGTTGTTTTAGTACTGTGATATAAAAAACAGGTATGTTGCTTTGAATCCACACTGGACCATATCATTTTAAATTATTTTTTTAGAATGGATACAAAAACGTTCTACGGGAAAAGCAGTAAATATTCGTTATTGTTTGTAACAGTTTCCAACAAATCCGAGGAATCCAAAGACTCTGACTTTGAAGAGAGTGATAATGAATTTGCCATGGGTACTCAGATATCAATCGATCCAGGATAAAATGAAATGGAAAATGAAGACGATTTGTACGAAGCAAATTTAGACCAGGATACCAGTTTAGATTTAGACCAAGATGAAGATGAGGATGATACCGATAAAACAGAAAAACACACTGAACAAAATGTGTTCAAAAGGTCAAAAATGATCAAAAAAAAAAAACATTCAGTGAAAGAGTGGTCCCCGAACAGTATTTTCAATTCCAGAATGGAAAGGTAATTTCTTCTTCTTCTCATGCCACTCCTAGCGGAGATTGGAAATCATCATGGCCACTGCGACTTTGTTAGCAGCGCGCCTAAAAAGTTTGTTTGTTTGTTTATTTAACTGGATGAACCCTTTTTCCTTACAAAAATTACAATATACACATATAATTAACATATAAACTGTAGTCATATATTACAATTTTAAAAAGTATTAATAACATTAATGTCTCAATTTCTTTAAACTGTTCTTGAACGAGGACACGGATAAATTAAACAATTCAACACTATCTTGCAAATTATTGGCAGTTCTCAACATCTTTGTGATTGACTCACTTTTACCATAATTAGTGTGATGAAACTTTAGTCTAAACAGGTCAGGAGAGCGTGTTCTTCTAGAATTTACATTAAAAACAATTAATTCCAGCAGTTCCGGACAATTAACATAACCATTAAGAATTTTATGCAAAAAACGCAATTCACACTCAGATTCTCTATTTTCCAAAGTTTTCATATTAAGTTGACAAAGAATATAGTTATAATCACAGTTAGTTCTATTAAAACCCATTTTATACCTGCAAATTCTTGGGAATTTATTTTGAACTCGTTCCAACTGATCAATATACATATTATAATATGGATACCAAATAATATTACAATATTCCAAAATGGACCGAACTAGAGAACAATACAAAATTTTGAAAGTAAATATTGAAAATTCTCGGGAGTTCCTTTGAACAAAGCCGAGCATTCTATAAGCCCGCGATGTAATATTATTAATATGCCTATCAAACATTAGTCTTTGGTCAAATGTAATTCCAAGGTCTCTAATTTGATTTACTTCTGTAATCGATACTCCCTTAAGTATGTATGTTCTATATAACTGATGTTTCGTATTTTTGGAAAACGTAATTTTATAGCACTTTTTTATATTTAAATATAAGGCATTAATGTCATACCAACGAGATAAATTATTTAAGTCAGACTGAAGAGCATCCATATCAGAGGTATTTTTAATTGCTTTAAAGATCTTTATGTCATCAGCAAACAATAGAAATTCACTATTATTAATTACTGATGATATATCATTCACAAACAGATTAAATAGAAGTGGGCCTAAGTGAGAACCTTGAGGTACACCCGAAGTAACATTAATCGCTTCAGAAACAAAATTACCATATTTTACTATTTGTGAACGATCTGTTAAATAACTCGTAATCCAATCCAATAAATTATCTCCAATTCCGTATCCACGAAGTTTAGCAATTAATATTTCGTGATTTACCCTGTCAAATGCTTTGGCAAAATCAGCATATATGGAGTCAACTTGGTTTCCCGATTCCATAGAATCAACAATGAAGTTTGAATACAAAATAAGATTTGTACAAGTAGATTTCTTTTGATAGAAACCATGTTGTTGACCGAGAATTAAATTTTTACAATCGTAGGTTAACATATGGTTAACAAAAAAATCAAGCAACTTTGGTAGTTCAGACTGCAAACAAACAGCCCTGTAATTTTCAACATTATTATTTTGACCAGATTTAAAAATGGGTTTTAAAAACTCACTTTCCAAAAATCAGGAAATGTAGAAGAAGTTAAGGACTTATTGAATAATAACTGAATAGGTTTAGCAAGAGTGAATACACATTTTTTAATAAAATACATTGGTATACCATCTGGACCCGCTGTCAGTTTCCACGGATTATTCTGTATTTTATCAATAATATCCTTAACATTAATTAAATAATTATTAGCATTAACATAATTTTCGTACTTAAAATTAGGAATCTGATTTATTTTTTCTTTATTATAGACAGTCGAAAAGAACCCAGCAAATAAATTCACAATATCTGAACCATTTTCACTACTTTCATTACCATAACTCATACTCGATGGTAGAATATGAGATTTGCGTTTATTATTAATATATTTCCAGAAAGAACTAGAATTATGAAAAATGCTAGCCTCAATTTCATGCACATGACGCCTTTGTAAATACTTGCTAAGCTCTTTACATTGTGCCCTGAGATCGGAAAAAAGACAATAGTTCTCATCACCACCAGTCATTTTAAATTTTTTATGTGCTTTTTTCTTCTCATAAAGTAAATGTTTTAACTCTGATGTAAACCATTTGGGATATGTAGATGTTTTAAATTTTTTTAATGGTATAAACAATTCGATTAAATAAAATAAAATATCATAAAAATCTTTAACAACGTCATTAATGCTTTTGTTAAGAAATAATAAATTCCAGTCAACTTCTGCTAAATAATAATTTAAAGCAACATAATCACCATTTTTAAAGTCAAAATAGTATTCTTCATAATTAAGGACAGATTCTTTTATATCAACAATTACGTCAAAATTGACTGGTGTATGATGAAATCCCTCCTCAAATAACGGATCCAGAGGTACAGAAACAGATATATCAGGAAAGCTAGAAAAAATTAAATCAAGAAAAACATTTCTCCGGTTGGATATCGTATTGACCTGGTATAAGTCACAAATATTAATGATATTACATATATCGTTAGCTGGTGAGTTTTGGTTAGCCTGTACCGTGGTACCATAAAGACTGTTAACCCAAACTACATCAGGTAAATTATAATCCCCACAAATTATTAATTTACAATCCGGAATCTTATTATATATATATTCAATACTATCACAGTGTTCTATATATACATGCCTATCAGATGCAGGAGGTAAATAAACACCACCAAATACGACAGTTTGACTTTGACACTTAAGTGAAACAAACATTTGCTCAACACTATTTTGAGGAACAAAAACCTCACACACTTCCAAATGTTTGGCCACAGCTACTAATACTCCCCCACCACGTTGTTTGACACTAGTATTATAATTTCTATCACTTCTAAAAATGTTGAAGTCTTCTAAGTTCAATCCAACTACACCCGAACCATTCACGTAAATTACGAAGCCATGATATTGTTCTTCTTCCCACACTTCTTTTGCCCTTAATTTTGCTTTGCATGATGTTTCTTAAAAGTTCGTACTTTTCACCTCTCACAATGTGCCCCAAGTATTCCATCTTTCTAGTTTTTATCTCATTTAGAATTTTGTCTAAAGTTTGGAGTACTTGACTCCATAACCTCCATAACTCCAGTTAAAGATATAACACCGCAGCATTCGTATTCGTAACTTTATATTGATATCACGATTGCAAAAGAGTTTGCGCATTCTATTAAAAACAGTAGGATAATTTACCGACATGCAAATTATTAGAACCGAAACCTCCTCTACATTTTAAAAAGATGATATCTACCAATATGCTGGAAAACATAGTAGAACAAAATAATTTGTAACCACTGCAAAAAAAAATATAAATAAACTATTGAATATTACACTAGCAAAATTAAACCAATTTATTGGTTCTGTTCTACTGATGTCAATATGTGGCTTGCCAAGGACAAGATCATTTTGGCATATGGAAATACGTGTTTCTCAAATAGTTGACACTATATTTGGAAATCGCTGGGAAGAAATAAAAACTAAAATTCATTTCACTAAAATATGGTCAACAATAATGATAATTTATACAAAATTAGACCATTCATCAGCGGTCTAGTTTAAAATTTTCAGAGTATTCCAATAAGTGAAAAATTGTGTATTGATGAACAAATGATACCATTCAAAGGGGCATATTCTTTAAAACAATATATGAAGAACAAACCTAAAAAATGGTAATAGAAGGCATTTGTTTTGTGTGATAGCAATGGCATTGTTTATAACTGGGAATTATATACAGGAACTGTTGAACATCCTCTTCATTTAGCTAATGTAGGCACCAGCGGTAATGTAGTAATAAAATTGTGTGAGATAGTCGAACCAAACAAATACTATAAAGTATATTTTAACAACTAGTTCAATAGCATTCAGTTGCAGATTCCAATGGAAATACGCGGACTTCAATGTTTGGGAACTGTTTGTTCAAACAGATTGCCTAATTGCCATTTTTCTGATGACAAGAATATGAAGAAACAGGGCAGAGGTACTGTAGAAGAAAAGCACGCTACAGTAGATGGCATAAGACTAACAGCGTTAAAGTGGTACGATAATAAACTGGTTCATTTACTTAGTACATTTGTTGGTTCTGAGCCTACTTCGTTAGAAGTAGTGGGATAAGAAACAAAAATCAAGAATTGATGTATGCTATTAAAATGCAGTGCAATTTTATAATAAATTTATGGGAGGTGTCGATCTTATGGATTCACTAATTGCTCTTTACCGAAGACGTAAGATCTAAAAAGTGGTATCCAAAAATCTATTTTTTCATCTTCTGGATTTAGCTATTGTTAACAGCTGGTTATTGTATCGTCGTAATTGCGATTACTTTGATATTGAAAAGAAAAACCAGTTCCATTTGTAACAGTTTAAGTCCCAATTACGTAGCGTACTGTTAGCAACTGACCAGATCAAAAACAAAGGACGTCCCAGACTTAGTGAAATTGAGAACGAAATTGTAAAAAAATTGATTGGCATAATAAATAAGTACATTCCTTAATTCCTAATGTTGCCTGAGGGCAACACTTCCAAAACTCTCCCCAAACAAAATTTAAAAAATCTAAAAAATTACTAGTTGTTGTAAAAGCATATTTGAGCATATATACAAAATAAAACATTTTCTCTTAAGTTTAAAAAAGTCGGGCAATAGAGAGACAATCACAAAAAAATAACGAAGTAAGCAACTGAGATGTTGCTTACTTCGTACAACGAGTAGAAAAGAGATGATAAGAGAAATACAACAGTACTTAGTAAAGAATTAAATGAAAATAGACCGAGAGGTAGACCCAGAAAGAGATGGATTGATGGTATTAACCAGGATTTAAAAGAACTAGGATTACGAGAATGGCAAAAATAATCATGGGAAAGAAACATGGTCAACTATAGTCAAAAAAGCAAAATGTACATGACACTGAAATGATCTCCTCAAAAAGACAAACAAGAAAGTAACGATTTTAAATATAAAACTCTGGACTTTCTGAGGAGTTATGCGTGTGTCTGACCTCCTCACCATGTAAAACTTTAAAGCATAGAAACCCTAACGGGTGATCATGGTCCTCCATAGGCTATCAGTGGCCACTGATGATAATGACATAATTTTGTACACTTTTCTACAAATAAAAGAAATGGCAAAATATATTCTTACCTGAAACAGTGTATCATTGAAACATTTCACAAGGGGCTCAGTAAAATTTGCAAACGTATAAATATTAACAAAATCATTGTCATTCAGAGTATCTAATATCTGGTTTACGATTTGATTGGACAGAGCTCGTCTTGTTCCAATTATTGATCCTGATCTGTCTATCAATATGATTATATCTTTTGGAGAAGTAAATGCTTCTGTGTACCAAGTTCGTGTTCGGAAATCATAGGTTTTTTTGTAGTCCTCATCTTCCCATTGGACAGCTAAAATGTTATAATACTAAAATAATTATTTGAAAAAATAAAATAAAAATATTGTTAAGAAATATTAAGATAAATACATAAATTACATAAAAGACATAGCCATTACTCATACATGGAAACTATAAAAAATATAATATTGATGATATATTGACATGAAAGTGTACAAAATTTATAAATCATAATTTAAGTTTTCCTCTACGTACCTGGATAATGTCTCATAAATCCTTTAGGACTAGCAAAATACTGCCAGGTAAGTGTGGGATCATTCTTATAATTTTCTTTGAACACCAAATCCAATGCTTCAGACCATCTTAGTCCTTCTAGTACATCTTGTTCTAAAATATACAATATGATGACCTATTTTGTTCCAAACAAAAGATTTTTTATAAGAAACAAGGCATACCTTGTTAAATTTCTGACGTTTTAGTTAAAATAACTAGTAACAAACTTACCTCTCTTGTATACATTTAATGCTAACTTAGCAATACTAATATCAAGGTTGACCTTAGTCCCAAACCGGGAATCATGTTTTAATGGCAGACTCTCATAGGTTTGTGAAGATCTTTCTTTTTCTGGTAAATGCTTACAGTTGCATTCTCTTCCTTCTTCATTGTCTCTTGGAGCAAAAAGTTTAAGCCTTCTTTTTGGATTTGTAAATTTGTTGTTTGTAAGATCTGACTTACTGGGTTGTTCACATTTCCAATGGCATTCATTCTAAAACAAAAAAAATACACTCATGAACAAAAATATTTAATATTTTGGAATTTTATAATTTTTTTTTTTTTTTAATAAATTTTGGTCAATCAAACAGTTTATTGCGACGAAGAGATTATTTTAACAGTGTTTAATGAATCATTTTAAGTTTTTATGCGGAGAAAATTGCGAAAAAAATAATGCTTAATGTTAGGTAAATAAGGAAAGTCTTTTTAATTGAAACTTATTACGGACTGACTATTTCTGACCTGAGGCGATTGGCTTACCAGCTAGCCATTTTAAACCAAGTACCTCATCCTTTCTCGAAATAATCAAAGGCTGCTGGCACAAAGAGGGTTAGACTGTTTTTCAAACGCCATCCAGAGCTTTCCCTCAAACGACCACATAACTTGTCAATGGCTAGAGCTAAAGGATTCACAAAAGAAAATATTCACAAGTATTTCTCTATTCTGAAGCCTGAACTCGAGATAATAAACTTTGACCACTCAAAAATATTTAATGTCGACGAAACAGATATTTGTAGGATATTTGTAGTCCAGCACAAAGCTACTAGAGTAGTAACCTGTAAAGGGAAAAAGCAAGTGCATAAACTTTCATCTGCTGAACGTGGATCCACAACCACAGTCATAACCTGTATGTCAGCAGCAGGCCAGTATATTCCACACTTGTTAATATTTCCACTTAGAAGGTGGCAGGGAGAATTCCTTGACGGAACTTCTCCGAGGTCGATGGGCGGATGTTCAGATTCAGGTTGGGTAACTGGTCCATTGTTTCTTAAGTGGTTTAAACACTTTAGTTCCATTGTAAACCCATCAAAAGAGAATCCCGTTGTGCTTATCCTGGATGGTCACTATTCCCACACTAGAAATCTCGAACTTATTGACATTGCAAGAGAGTCAGGAGTATCTATAGTTTGCCTTCCTCCACACTCAACAGACAAGCTACAGCCTTTGGATGTATCGTTTATGTTTCCTTTGGAAACTAGATATGCAAAAGCTATAGAACAATGGTTGGCTAGTAACCCAAATAGAGTTGTCAGGAAACTGCAAATATCCAGTCTCTTTTGTGAGGCGTCTTGAACAGCAAGAGGTGCCTGTCAATGGACGGGATAATGACAACCAGAATGTTCTAGTCCCACCTCAAGCTGTCAGTCCACGAGACATCTAGAATGTACCAGTTCCACCACAAGTGGTCAGTCCACGAGACATCCAGAATGTTCCAGTTATCGAACCTTCCACATCTTCTAGAGCCGGTACCTCATTTTTGGTAACTGGATCTCCTCACAAAACTTCTCTAAAAATCTCTTTACAAAAGAAACAAATGGCAGAAGAGAAGAGGCAGTCAAAGGCTAAGAAACGTCTCATCATGGAAGATAAAGAAAATCCTGGCACATCATTGAACAAATGTCCCAAGAAGAAAACAACGAAGTGAGATTTAAATTCAAGTAACTCTGAGAACAAAACAGTTCCACTGGTATCAACTGATGATGAGGATAGTTCTGGTGATGCTGATGCACCATGTGCCATTTGTGGAAAACGTTTTTCATAAGACAAGCGGGGAGAAAAATGGATAAGGTATTCGGAATGCTTTAAGTGGTGCCATGAGATTTGTTCAACTTCAACCAAGGTCAAAAATTTTGTATGTGGTTTGTGTCTGGAGGTGTAAATAGATAGAACTTATGTATCAAAATGTATAAACATGTTCCTATTTCAATAAATTTATAACAGATATTAGTACTGTTTAAATCATGTTTTACAAAAAAAAAATCATACATTTTAACTAGGAATGGGTGGGGGACGAAATTTGGATACCACTTTTAAACAACCGAAATTTGCTTTAATTTGTTATTTATTTATTTTACTTCAGGAAATTTGATTTAGTAGAATAGTACTAGCAAAACTCTTATACATTGAGTTAAGTTACTTAAATCAGTTTTTTTCATTATTTTAACTCTAAATCAAATTTCAGAATTTAAGATTTTGTTTAGAGGGACGGCATTTGGGCATTTTAGCGTACAATTATTTTATATCACCGAGTTGCACTTGGTTGCACTCAATGACGTATAATATACGTCATTGGTTGCACTAAACGTAGGCAACTTACAGTGCCGCATTGCAGTGTTGCCCAAATTTTAATATTTTCTTAAACTATAAAAAAAAATAATATACTATGCGAAACAATAGACAAACTAGTTTTAAACTAAGCAAAATCAAATACTAATATATAGCTGAACTGCTTTTGAATATTTTATTTATACGACATATTGTAATATTACGTTACATTGATTACAATCCATTTTCTTAGATTTCGAGAGTTAGAGTTGTGGTTAGAATCGTTTCATCGGGAAAGTGCACATAATATAAATTCTTGCATTTCTTTCATCTTTAAAATTAAAAATGAGTTGAGGCAATGGTATTTACCCTAACACCCAAATGTACAAACTTTATATGCCAAAACTACATGTATTGTTTCTTAACCATGTTAAGTAGGTATGCAATTATTACTAGCAATTAATAGGTAGGTATATCAGAAAAGTATTTCAAAATATAATTATAATGGCTTTATTTGATAATATTCCAAAATTTAAGTGAACTTAACGATGTAATTAAATCATTCATTGAAAATCTAGCACCACTCTAGTATTCATTGTGACACTTTTCATCAAAAATTGGAAAATAATAAATAAATGAGTACTGAATTATATACAACACACTATTAAGTCAACACACAAATTATAAGATAAAATGTTGATTTATAATGTTCTCGAATATAATAATTATGTTCTGTAATCGTCCCCTAAAAGCGATATTTCTGGTGTCTGAAAAAGTTGATCGTTAAAATTTTTTGATGTCTTCAATTATTAACTAAGCAAGTAGGTACATACTTGTTTTTATTCTATTAAGAAAATTAAACACATCTGAACAAACAAATATAGTATATTATTAAAACTTATTAAATAAAGATATTAGAATATTAGAAACTGTAGATTTGCTAAGTAAATTTAATTTTATTTCTAAAGATATCCAAACAACATAGATTTTTACGTACCTACATACGTAACAGAGAAATTACGAATATTGTAAACTTTGAACTGAAAAAAATTTAAATTTGCCATTTCGAATTTCATACAACACAGATTCCTTGAATAATTACGGTGCCGTCAAAGAAATATGCCGACTAGGTAGGCAACTTCAAATTCAGTTGTGATCTTAAGTTTATACATACCTATTTAAATATACATAAATAAATAGTCAAGAAAAAATAGACTGTTACTAACATGGACGTATTGATTACTAATAACCAGTAAACATAAATCAAAAATATTGATATTTGGGAATGTTTGCATATGATTTTGTAATGTAATAAATTTGTAATAATGTTTATAAGATATAAATATACATATAAGATAGGTTTTATTTAATTACAAAATCTATAAGTAGATAGATAAATATTTCAACAGAACTAACATTATCTAGAGAAAGAAAGTTAGAAATATATAGCACCAAATTAATTTAAATGTTAAATAATCTACCAAAACTAATTCCGTACCAAAATGGGGTGACTTTGAAAGACATTTTAATAAAAGTAATTTGTGTCTCTTGTCAATACCTAATAAGTTAATTCTCTAATACTATGGTTTCTATATTATGTTGGTCTTATAATGCTGGCGATGATACTCTCCTCCCTCCACATGAAGTGTATAAAGTACAGAATATCTGTGACATCTGCAGTGTTGGGAGGTCACCAAACTCCAGATACAACCAAAGTAACAATCATTTGACTCTTATTGCTTTCAATATAGGCCAAGACCATAGCAATACCTTAGTTATCAAAACTCGATGGAATAAAGATCTTGTTAGACGACAACTTAGCTTCACAACTATCTGTAGAAGTTATTAAAATCTGCCAAGAACATAACATTATATTTGTTTTTTTTTTACCAAGCAAATCTATAAATCTTCACAACCCTTTGACGTGGCTATTTTCCTCACACTTAAGGAGACTTGAAAGTCCATCGCTCTAAAATGGAAACAATGTTCACGATGAAGTGCCTCTTCGCCAAAAGATTGATTTTCAACTTCTCAAAGGGCTATATATGTCAGTAAAGAAATTAATGTTCTTTATGGTTTCAAAAAATTTCACATTGTTCTACATTGTACATTGATTCTATAAGAGAATCTGATACACCAAAGACAAACCACAAAAGAACCAAAATATCGGTACTTCCTGGCAAAAGCGTCGAAGTTGCAGATTGAAAATCTATAAATTCAAGAAGAGCTGAATATACAACAGGACCTAGCAACTAGAAAAAGAGCCCAAAGAGCAGTACATTAAAAAAGAAAAAAAAACTGTTAATGATCATGAAGTCAAACTATTCACTCCAAGACAGTTAGGCCGAATCTTCTTATGGTGCCCTATCAAATAAGTGGATGTATCCAGACAATCCTGGCATACTCCTTTCGATCTTGTGTGGCTCTAAAGAGTGCACGGGTATCGAGATTTGTCCAATCATGTATGACCCAGATAAGCAGTTTTTCTTCTTTTTATTAGTGGCTACAATTCTCGTTCTCTGCCCATTCGATTTATTACTTCGACATTTGTTGTGTAATCTGTCCAGGGAATTTTAAGTAGTCTTCTAAATACCCACATTTCAAAGGTCTCCAATCGGTTCATCACATTGGTCTTTATGGTCCAGGTTTCTACACCATAGAGCAGTATGGAGTAAATGTAACGTTTTACAAAGCGATATCCAGGCATTAAGTTAGGGCTGCTGTTGCTTAGCAAGGTTCTCATATTAGTAAGTTCTGTTCTGGCTTGCTCAATCCTGTTACGTATCTCTACGTCTAGATCTAGATCTTCAGTTATCCAACTACCGAGATATCTGAACTTGGGGACCTTTTGGATGTTCTTATTGTTTACTCTTATATTTAATTGCATATTTCGTGTTCTACTAACCACCATTAGCTTCGTCTTGTCTACATTAATCTTCAAGCCCAGTCGTTCTTCTTCAGGGTTTATTCTAACTATTAGTTGTTGTAGCGCTTCTTGGCTATCAGTTATTATCACTGTATCATCAGCATACCGAAGATTACTAATAGTCTGTCCGTCGATTTTGATTCTATCTTTAATGTCACTTAAGGCTCTATCGAAAATCGCTTCAGAGTTAAGGTTAAAAAGGAGGGGTGACGGAACACAACCCTGTCATACACCGTTTTCGATTGAGAAATCTGATGTAGATTCCAGTCCTACTCTCACAGATGCCACTTGATTCATATAAAGGTTCTTTATGATTTTAAGGTCGCATCTATCGAACGTTTCTGGAGCAATCTTACTAATTCTGAATGATTAACACAATCGAACTCTTTCTGGTAATCTATAAAGCATAGGGAGACATATTTTTGCTGATAAGACAGCTTTTAAACATAATGTAGGGAAAGTTTTTCTGAAGAGGATTCATTTGCAATCAAAGCTTTGAATAAAAATTATTTGTTAGAGCTTCACTTAGGGACTTTGCCATTGTCAAAGTTATGGGAAAGACCAAAGGTTGTTGAACTTGATAAGGAAGGATATATTGGAAAGTTTTACAAAAAATTCTATGGCTTTAAATTTTCGCAAACACATAAAAAACACTCTTTAAAGCACTTGATGATGTAATTCGCAAACTTGGAAAACCAAAATTGTGCACATCTTTTAGATTCCAAAGACTAACTACTTTTGATGATGATTTTTAACGCTTAAAGTTAAAGTTTAATAATTCCCAGTAAAGTTACCAGAAGTTAATAATTCAAAAATCATTATACTTCATCCAATTTAGATAACGACTTACGTCATTATCTACGTCAGAGATCGAAGTTGACATAGTTGCCAAAGTATAAAAAAATCCTGACTCAATTTTAAATCAAATACATTACATAATTAATGCAAAAGTATTACCATCTCTTTATAACGTAAATATTTAAATTCTTACGTGACGTTTTGAAATAAAACAGACTAATTTTGTTCTAAAAAAAAACAGATTTTATTAAATAGTTAAAAATATGAAACCAGAGATATTCACTTTAAAATTCAAAATAGTGAAGTACAAAAAGTGTCAACACCGGAACTGTCAAATAAGTGTTACCAATTTGTGCCAAAATTTTACCTTCGTTCCAATACAGTTACAGTGTGTTCCGAACAAATGTTCTTGATAAAAACGCTTTATAATGCATTTATACAAATTAAATGAAACATATTATTGTGTATTTCTTTAAGTTAACATTAATAGAAATTTTTAAATATTATTTGTACGCGTATATAATAAAATATGTCTAGTGGCTGTAATGCCAGTGTACTCGGTAAAGTGATTCTAAAAAAGAACACACCTACACCCTAATTATTTTGTGTTGGTATCATGTGACGTCACAGGCTATGACGCCGATGACGTGAATCGGTATATAAGTTAGATGAAGTGTATGTATTATTGTTATAGTGATTGTGGGAATTATTAAACGTATTATCTCTTTTATGTTGTTTATTAATAAAACGCGAATTAAAAATTTGCCTATACTACTTTGGAACTACCAGCCAACTACAATGCATAAGCACAGAATAAATAACAATCAAAATGCCCACTCTCAGATGCCGCCTTTGAAGTTTTTTATTCCAAGCCCCATATTTTAAACGAAAACATAGACTCAAATTGAGAAATTTGTGATAGCTACGACAGAACCATAATTTAAATTTTTAGAGATTAATAATTTAGTAAATTTGAACTAATTTAATCTATTCTTCAACTAAAAGTACGAATAAAATAGTGCATATTATGTATGTATTTACATATTTAGTGCATATTATGCACACCAGATAAAATGTCACTCAACAGCACTGGTTCCGACTAAACATGGCTGATTCCGTCTGCGTGAACGAGATGCGCGTACTTATTTTTTCAAGCAGAGTGGGCATTCTGTTTATTATTCTGTGGCATAAGTAATTTGTATAAACTAAAATAAAATATCTACTTAATACCTAATATAGGACTTAAACATAACTCATATTTACATTAAGAATAATAGAATGCAGATCTTCCAATAGTTCAGGAGTAGGATCAGTATAAGTTAAATTGTCGGCATTATAAAAGTCATAGGTGCCGTTTTCAAATAACGGTGTATCATTACGATGGTAATGAATAAATTCCATGTAATCAGCAATATTCTGAAACAAAAATAAAAAAATTTAAATTATAAAAAAATTTAAATTAAAATTAATAATATAAAAATTATAAAATTGTAGTATCGGAATTTTAGTCATAATCAAAATGACACACTACGGAAAATATTGATGTATACGACGCATGTTCATATTTGCCACGTGACAAAAATTACTCGATCTAATTGGTTGCATAAATTTTTGCACATACGTTGGCTTTGAATTCGAAACAAATTTAGCAAAAAGCCATTTTAGGGCCGTGGAAAGTGTGCAGAATTATTGTGCATAGTGTATTTATGGTATTACATTATTTATATTCTTGGTAAGCAATTTAAATATATCTACTTTCTGTCATATACAATATAAGATTGCCATTCATAGTAGGTATGTGCTTAAATAATTTGTTCATAGGTATAATTTGCGAAAAAATGTACTGCTATGTACGCTATACTACATAATTTAAGTTTGGAAGTTTGGTGCATCAGTTTCTCTTGGTTCAAAAGCCGATCAAATTTTGAATCATTGGATCAACATTTCAATGGTCACCGAAGTTCTAAGGTTATTTTCTTGAGGCTTTTTTATAGTAAATATTTTAAAAAACTTACAATGAAATGTAACAATGGTAGTGTACCTAATAATTGCTATAATTGATTAAATTAAGGAAATTTTGAAGTTATTTAATAGGATTACAAATTTTCAAAAGGTTTTCTCCCCTTTATTAATGAAACTTGAAGCATGTGCAAAAATCTACTTCCAAAAAGGTATAAAAATCTTTTATTTTAATTTAAAATCTTATATAAATGTAAAATAAAGCGACATATTGTTGATGATAAAAGATTTATCCAGAAGAGAACATACTGATCCCTTCTCGAAATGGCGGCCATAATAATCGACATTATTTTGCTTTCTTTTTAATTTTAATAACATTTAAAAAGTGTTTTTGCCTATTTGGAAGCGACTGAAAATCTTTTAATCAACTTATAACAAAATTTTAGATGACGATTATTTTTTTTTCAGGTGTCTTTCGTCTTTTTCGGTAAAAGGTAGGAGAATGAGAGTGACTTAAAATACTTTAATAGCAACAGAATATATTTAATCTTTATTTTTAATAATATCAATAACTTATATTAGGTTAGTACAAACTTTATAGATAATATGAGTGGTTCAGAGGCAAAAGTGACTAAGCCACAAAGTGGAGTTTTTGTGATAAATCATGTCAAAGGTAACTTTAATAGTATATTACATAACGAGAGTTGTAAGAAGCTTATTACATGCGAGTAAAAAAGTTGCGCGCGAGCCGCGTAGCGGCGAGCGCAGTAATTTTACAAGCATGTAATAAGCTTACAACTCAAGTTGTGTACTATACTTTTTCTACGATTATTTTCGTTTATAAAAATAAAAATTAAATTACCACTATGTTTACACTGACAGATTAATAATTTTTAATCTGTCAAAATAACGTCTGTTAATTCGTTACCATGGTAACTCGACCAACTGACTTACAAGGCTTATGTGATATTACACATTTTTATAAAACTGAAGCGTAATTTTTTTTATTACGTGCTAGTCATTACGTGTCAGTATCTGTTATGATGCATTTACTTAGCATCCAAATAGTAGGTAATATACAATTTACTAGTAAGAGAGTAGAAAAACAAAAATACAATTTTTATGATAAAAAAATGTAAAACTTAATTTTTTTTAAGGAAAAGCTAATGTCTTAAAACAACATTTAAGGAAAAATCTCACCTGAGTTTTAAAAATTCTAATTCTGTGTTCAAAAAGTATACCTTTGCTGTATAGCACAGAATTTTTGGAGTTAGGCACCTTTGCCTCTGAATATACAATGTGTGTGTTTTAAATCTGATCGTATTGATCTTTTTTGGGGCAATAGGTACTTCTAATTATTTAACGTTGTTTAGCAAATTAATTTGTCAAACATCGTTTTGGGGTTAGATGAACAAGGCTGCTGGAAAATGGCTTTATGAAGCCTACCTTTCACACATGTACTGCTTGAAGATACTTCAAGATTTGAAATCTTTGAAAGTTTTTTGTAATTGTTAGTTTAATATAACCAATTTATTTTTTTTTTTTTAGAGTACTCTTATGAAGACAAAATTGACTAAAAAGCCAAAACTAAAATAGAGCTTTACAAGAAATTATTTTTATTTATTTGAGACTAGGTATTCGAGTATTAAATTTTACCACGGCATTATTTGTATATGTAGAATTCTTTATCTTGAATATAATAAAGCTGTACTATAGAAAAGATCACACGATAGAGTAACTGAGAATTGGAGTATGTGGACGTCGCCGGGATCAGAAGATTTTCCGGAGTGACAAAATATATGGAAGATTCAAAACTAAGGAAGTAATCATAGAAGGATGTGCTACTTCAATACAAGGTAAGTTTTCCATATATTTGTAAATTTGCTTCAGTATATGTACTTTTTGCTGTATTTTAAGCTGTCACATTATTCAACACGTCCTGAACTGGACTCTAATAATACATAAATATTCCTAACATCAGCCTACACCAAATAAATTAAACGACCACCTTAAAAATGGGTAATTTTTCAATTCTTATATCTTCTAAGCCTGCTGTCCGATTTAAGTGATTTTTAATATGGTATAGCCTTATTCCTTGACAATATCTTTATAATAATATTGTTTCTAAACAGGTAAATTTTTATTGTATACGTGTACGAATCAAACTGTTTTTTTCTGCCTCATGCTTTCTCAACCTTTTGTTTTTTGATTGATTTGCCTATGTTGAATAATACAAAAGTTAGATGCTTTAAAAACTAGACATGTTTTTTATCAATTTTTATCCCCGAGGAAGTGAAAAAATAATCTTTTTGAAAAAAAGTCATTTGTTACAGTAAAAATCCAATGAATAAAATCTTCGAAGAAAATTCAAATTAACAATGTTTTGGAAATCAAAGTCTAATTGAAAAAAATTGGGTATCAATAATGGGTGTTGCCGCCTTTAGCGCTTAGGTCTTCTTGGAGCCGGTTTAGCAATACATTCATGATATCCCGGATATTAGATTGGGGGATATTGCGCCACTGCTCTACCGCAGCTGTTTTCAGCTCTTCAAAGGATGCAGGGGCTGGTACTCTTGCTCTTACTAATCTTTTGTTGTCGGTTGTGCCAGATATGCTCAACTGGGTTAAGATCAGGACTGGGTGCTGGCCTCATTAATGTCACCTCGGGGTTATTAATAGGGGTCTAAACTCTTTCTATTGCCTCCGGGTGCTCTGTAGAGGGCTTCGAAAACATCAACGATAGCTCCTCTACTTAAGTCTATTTTCAGGGTATGGACTCGTAAATGTTTTCTTCTGGTATCTTGTCTTGAAAAAGGCAAGATATTTCTTACATGACAAAGGTTAAGTCGAAATAAAAATATCAGGTTGCAGTAGAATAACATCTCCAGCCACAGAGTATGGAAAAATCTAAAAACAGGAAAGCAGAGCCCCGAGAGCACTAAGCTCTCGGAGAGCCCGTGAAGAACTGACCCTATTGACCTGAAAATCGCCTATTTTTATACTTTCTGAAGTAGCGATTAGGGATTTCCAGATCAGGGAGGGGCCAACGGGAAAAATAAGGGGCGGGGCGATGCGTCTCGAACGTGAGCTAGCCGCGTCCGAGAACATTAAGGTACTCACGGGTAGATCTTGCTGTATCTTCTTCTTCAAGTGCCGTCTTGGTTCCGAAGTTTGGCTATCATCAAAGCTATGCGCATTTTTGATGCTGCAGATCTAAGCAGTTGGTAATTGGTGCAATTGTACCATTCTCTCAAGTTTTTCAACCATGAATGCCTTCTTCTTCCTATAGATCTTTCCCATTATCTTTCCCTGTATAATCAATTGCAGCAACTGGTATTTATCTCCCCTCATAACATGTCCCAAATATTGTAGTTTGCGCTTTTTAACAGTAAGTATCAGCTCTTTCTCTTTCCGCACTCTCCGCAAAACCTCCACATTTGTTACTTTCTCTGTCCAGGGTACTCTTAATATTCTACGATACATCCACAACTCAAATGCTTCTATCTTTTTGGTATCAATCTTTTTCAATGTCCATGTTTCCATCCCGTAGAGGAGAACTGACATAACGTAACATCTCAAAAGGCGAATTTTAAGTTTTAGACTTAGATCTCTTCCGCAGAACACCTTTTTCAATTTAGTAAATGTGGCTCTAGCTTTCTCTATTCTGGTTCTGATTTCTTCAGAGCAATCAATATTTTCGTTGATAACAGTTCCCAGGTAATTATATCTTCTTACACGTTCGATTCTTTGATCATGCACGGTTATGTCAGGGAAGTTTTGTGGTGATTTAGATATTAGCATTATTTTTGTTTTGCTTATGTTAAGTGATAATCCGTGTTCTTCACTGCATTCTACTATTTTGTTAATTAGTATTTGAAGATCTTTTCAAGTTTCTGCGATTAGTACCGTGTCATCGGCATATCTCAAGTTGTTTATTCGGATGCCATTTATCTTAATACCTATATTTTGATCCGAAAGTGCTGTGTTTATAATGTCTTCGGAGTATAGATTGAATAAGGTCGGTGAGAGTATACAACCCTGTCTTACGCCTTTCTTGATCTCGATTTCCTCCGTTGTCTCTTGCTTTATTCGGATATTTGCTTTCTGGTTATAGTAAATCTTAGAGATAATTCTAATGTCCCTTTTATCCAAGTTTTTTTTCTACTAGCAGTTTCATTAAGTGATCGTGACGAACTTTATCAAATGCTTTGTTGTAATCAATGAAGCACATATATATATATATATATATATATATATATATATATATATATATATATATATATATCTTGGTTTATATCTAGACATCTTTGGCATATGACGTTAAGTGCAAATAGTGCTTCTCTTGTTCCAAGCCCGTTCCGAAATCCGAATTGAGTATTACTAATATCTGCATCTAGTTTTCTGGTAATTCTTGAGTGGATTACTTTGATGAATACTTTTAATGTATGACCCATTAAGCTTATAGTGCGGTAGTCAGTGCACTGTTTTGCATTTGCCTTTTTTGGTAAGGTTACAATAGTTGAAAGTAGCCATTCCTTTGGTATTTCTGTATGGCCACTTGCATTGTCAAGCATTAGTCTGAAGTTATCACCAATGAATGGTGTAAAAGGCATGACATGGTCTTGGAGAACTTCTTGCACGTATACTTGGACATTCACACTGCCTCTACCTAACACAACAAGATCAGTACGGGCTTCGTAATAAATACCTTCCCAAATCATTATTGACCCTTCTAGGTAAGGCACTGTTTTGGTTATGGCGCATGCAGCAAACCTTTCATTTTGACGCCTATAGACACGTTGGCCTCCATCTGGACCTTTTATTCTGCTCTCATCTGAGAACAGTATATTCTACGATGATGTGGGAGCAGTTATGGTACGCGAGCTGGAAGAAAAGCCCTTAAGCTTATTTCTGATAATCTTCTTCTAATCGTTTGTCTACTCACACTAACGTTTCTCACCTCAAGAAGAGACCTACGAACTTCAGGAGCGGTGTAAAAGTGATTTCTCAATACATTAGTGACAATGAAGCGGTCATCTCGAACTTCGTTGCATCGCTTTTGGCCTTGACCTGGCCTGCGGTTGTAAGATCCTGTCTACAGAAATCGGCTGATGTCATCTTGTACCGTAGTTCTGGGTACATCGAGTATACCAGCGATATGACGTTGACTGTAACCAGCATCAACTAGTCACCCCCTATACCCTGGCCGCTTAAAACATGGAATCCAAGGTCGCGTTATCGCTGAATTCTAGCATGGACAGGCTGTCAAAACTAGATCTTCTGAGAAACTGTTTACACCGTCATTATATTATTTATTTATGGTCATTATTAATTTGTTTCACTTGAGCTGGCTGGTGAATTATGTTGGCAGCGTTAAAAATTGTTTGTAGAGTTCACGCGTGCATATATTAATTTTTATTTGTATTTTCTCTATTCTTGTGTATAAAGATATTCTATGCTATTTAAACAAATGGCATAATTTTATTTAAAGTTTACTTTTGACCACCATATAAAAATTAAAATTTAGAATTTTTCCTACACGTTTTTTTTTGAATCTAATTTAAATTTAATATAAATCAATAACCTGTAAAAAATGGTATAAATATATTATAGCCAGAGTATTAGTTCGTTTTTGTTAAGCGGTGTAAACGTGGAAAAAGTGATAACATAGGGTAGGGAGAGGAATATTTAAGAGTGCGAGCCATTCACGTGATCATTCCATCATTTCAGCGGATCAACTATATTAGCATCAGTTGGAACGAGTTACATTTTTAAAATCTCAAACAATAAATAAGCCACTAAAATTTCAAGTTAAATAATATTCGCTCACAATGATATAAAATTACAATTTTAATTGTTAATTTTAATTAATAATTTAATTTTAATTACAAATTGTTCAAGAATTGTTATTAACACGGAAACAGATTTGCAACAAGGTCGTACAACGACTATATGTCAAAAATCCTTCGATGACACAAATTTAGGAAACAAACTGTCACAGTTAATGTAAACAAAACAATAATAAAGGTGGTGGGGTTAATTTTACTGGTGAGTTAAATCGTCTGTATTCATGAAAAACATGACTAGTTATTAAACTACCTAACTTTTGTATTATCCAGCATAAGCGAATGAATCAAAAAATAAAATTTTGAGGAAACGTGAGGCTATAGTTAAATTTTAATTTTAAGAACTGATGCCAACTTTAACAAAAAAACATAGTTTAATTCGTACACCCGGTATATAATAAAAATGTACATCTTTAGCAACCATATTATTATAACGATATTGTCAAGGAATAAGGCTATAACATATTAAAAAAAATCACTTAAATCGGATAACAGGTTTAGGAGATATAAAACATTAAAAATTACCCATTTTTAAGGTGGCTGGATAATTTTGGTCCAGAGTATATAATCTTTATTGCCTTTTTACCTCATTAGAGGTTGAATTATTTTACCAATAATTGTCACTTGGATGGTATGCGTCGGTTCAATTCAGTCATTTCAAAAAGTCTTCCCTGATGAAAGGTAAACCTTGAAACACGTGTAGGAAAATGGTGAGGGAATCGAATTGAATTGACAAGCAACCGTTTATATTTGTTTTGTCTCCCTAATAGTTATTATCATACATATACACTAAATAAACAAAAAAACTTACATGAACTGCCTCTTCTTTTTGTTTCATCATAGTCTCAATATCATAGGCGACGTCGTGTATTAGATCAGCTGCATCTTCTTGGACTAGTTTGTCTTCAAGTATTACAAAGCTCTATAAATGACATAAATTAGGATCTGGTATGTACAAGATGAGATAAAGTACCTTTTCCACCTCGTCTTCTCTTGTCATCTTTTTGCTCAGCTGCTGAAGTTTGGCTCCTATTTTATGAGCCCACATGGACACCCTGAAATTTATTGTAGTGTAATTAATAAATTTTAAATCTGATTTACACAAATGTTTAAATAAATAAGCTCTAGAATAAAATATACAAGTAAAGCTCTTGTTAACAACACTTGCTACTTCATTTTGATGTATTTGATGATTATTTTCTGAATACTATATTTTGGTATTTTTAATCTGTAATTCACTTGAGTGTGGCCATCTAAAAACGTCGTATTTCTTGAATGACGTTATGTATTTTCCCAGCTTCATAAACAGCTTTAATATTCCAGATATAGATCTTTGTACCTACAATCTTTTGTAGGATTTCCTCAGGTTAACGACCGGATGAGCCCTACAATATTTCACTTGTCTATTCCTGCTTTATCCTCACTGATAAATAACTGAAAATCATGATCAGTAACCATCTTGTACTAGCCATAGTAATTAAAAGATGCCAAAGATGAAAAAGTCGAATTTTTCTTTTAAAATTGATTCCATTCTTACCATTCAGTTCTAGAAAATTATAAATTAGGAGTACCTATGAACTAGGTATGGTATACCCATGTACTAATTCTTTTTCTTATTCTTTTTCCTCTTTATAAGCAATTCTGCTTGTTCATTGGCGGATTAACACCTCTATGGAAGGTTGCCACTCAATTCTTTGCGCGGTCTTCCGATACTTCTTTTGCCGATTGGTGACTTATTTCTTGGTTTTTTGACTACATGGGTATCCTTCATTCTGCTTATGTGGTTATACCATTTTTTTTCTATTTTGTGTCCATTCATTAATACGGTGTATTTTGCATTTTCTTTTAATGTCATCACTTCTCTTTTGATCATTCAGCGTATTTCCTGTCACTCTTCTCAGTACTTTCATCTCTGCCATTTTCGATAGCCTTTGCGATATGGCTATGTTGGTTCTTATTTGTAAGGCATATTTTTTAATTGATCTTAAACAGGATTTATAAATTCTTTGGTATAAGGTTGAATGCTCGTATAAATGAAGTTTGAAAAATTAAATGCAGATATCGGGCACAATTTAATTAATCAAATCTTGCCCAAGTGCTTTCGCTTTCTACAGCATCATCAGGGGCATTTCCCAAATTTGACGAAATGCCCCTGATGATGCTGTAGAAAGCGAAAGTACTTGGGCAAGATTTAATTAATAAAATTGTGCTCTTAATAAAAATCTACTCTAAAATTAGTACTTGTAAAAGTTAAGTTGTAAGTTTTAGGGTAGTATTTAACAAGTTTATAACTGTAGTTTTCTGGCTGTTTTAATCTCCTTTTTTGAATAGTAGAATTGGTTCGCTCGCTCTCCATTCTTCCGGTATTTTATTGCGATTTATAATTTTATTAATCAATTAATAAAAATGTACTAATTAAAACGTGAAATTAAATGTACATGTTTTTTATACTGTGGCTCATTCGCAATTAAAAAGTTAATAATAATGCAATAAGAAAACACTTTCAGAATACTGTTTGAGATATAGAGTAAATATTATTTTAGTATTTTTGGGCATTTAGCATCATATATTACAGAATTCACATTTTAAAAGATCACAGCATCTCTGTACACAACAGTAAGACCGAGAGATCAATAGAGAATAGACACTTTGGCGCCTATTGTTGTGGACGGAGATTACAAAAACTTTAACTTTAAGGGTTTCAACTATATATATATATATATATATATATATTCACGTTTGAATCAATAGGTATTAACAGAGTGTTATAGGTTATTCCACGAATATACGACTGTTTTGGATTATTGCGACAACGAATAGTTTACTGTGCAAATAGAAGTTTGAAAGTAAATTGGTGTAAACAGTATTTCAATAAAATAGATCTACTGTTAGTTTGACACTTAAACTAAAATTATTTCAGTTAATAGATGTTCAGATAGACGCAAAATTTATTGTAAAATTTAATCCGAAAATAACAAAAATTTTTACGCAAACGGTCCTAAAAATAAATACAATGACCTCTATAAGCCAAAATGTGTTCATAAGACATTTGGGTTGGGTTTCCGTGAAATGTAAACACCAAAGAGGCGTGCTGGGTTTCTTTGATATTACACTACTTTACTACTTTATTAGGTACTGCAACTGTAATAAAAGAAATATACTATTTTCAATATAAATGAAAATAAATTGGAAGAACGATGGTTTAGAAACCATAAAAAGGATCTAATATTTCACTTTGTTAATTTTAAATATTTGTTTGCTTTGCGTGGATGTACTCTTAAAAGTTACGAGGATTTACAACGTATGCTACACCAATTTATTATAATTGCCAAAAAATTTAACATGGTAATTTCCCCAAAAAAGACAAAAGGCATGGTTACAACAGAAATTTACTAGGATGTAAATTGGAGTTGTAAGGTCAGCTATTGGAGCAAGTGATGGAGAATAAACATCTAGGCATCACATTAGTTAGCTATGAAAAGTTCAAAACCGAAGTGGAAGATCAAGTGAATAGAGCAAACAGAGCCGCAGGCTGCCTTCTTCTTCTTCTTCTTAGCCTTCTGTCGTCCATGTTTGGACATAGGCCTCTTCCAACTCTCTCCATCGGTTTCTATCCTGAGCAACATATTTCCAATTTGTTCCGGCTATTCTTTTAATTTTATCAACCCATCTCATCTGTGGTCTTCCTCTTGGTCGTTTACTTTCGTAAGGTAACTGTTAAGGTTAGCAGGCTGCCTAATTGAAACAATATCGAGAAATAAAAATATCGGAAAAGGAACTAAAGGCAGAATTTACAAAAAGTCATCAGACCAATAATGACATACGCGACAGAAACAAGACCTGATACAGAGAGGACAAAAAGGATGTTTGAAACAGCAGAGATAAAAACAGTTAGATAAATTGATGGTAAGACACTATGGGACAGAGCTAGAAGTACAGATATACGACGTAGATGTTAAGTAGAGAACATCAAGAACTTTGTAAGAAATAGAAGATTAGAATGAAACGATCATATAAAACAATAAAGATGAATGACAACAAATAGAGTAGTAAAGACGGCAAAAGACGGTTCTTTAATAGGAAGACGATCAGTAAGAAGACCACAAAAACGATGAAACAACAACTTACTGGAAGCACATTGAAAAACAGACAGAATCATGTCTATATAAGAAGAAGAAGACTTTGTACACATTTTTTGTTTATCGAACTTTGTTTATTATACCTATTACTGAACGCTTCAGCACGTCGAATGGCCTAGGTAAACAAACATTAGAACCAAGAGTCAGTGACGTTTTAGTGCGTTTACACCCAACCCTAGCTGGACACATACACAATTTTGATAATATACAAGGCAAATATCGAGCACAGTATTAATTTAATCTTGCCCAAGTACTTTCGATCACTAGATCATCTTCAGGGGCATTTCGTCAATTGCGGCTTATCCGACAAGAGTAGAATGTCATAAATATAAAATGGGGCATAACAATACACTACACAAAGACAAACAAAAACAAATACAAAATTTTTTGAAGATAGGCGAAGCTATATGGCATATATAAGCCGGAGACAGAATGGCTCACGGTCTAGCGGAAATATTGAGATCACATATCGCCTATTTTTAAAAAATTTTAAAGTGTTTGTCTTTGTGTAGTGTATTGTTATGTCCCATTTTATATTTCTGACATTCTACTCTTGTCGAATAAGCCGCAATTGACGAAATGTCCCTGAAGATGATCTAATGATTGAAAGTACTTGGGCAAGATTAAATTATTACTGTGCTCGATATTTGCCTTGTATATTATCAAAGTTCATTTATTCGAGCATTTAACCTTATATCAACATACACAATTGGCTTAAAAATACTTTACTCATATATGTATTAAAAAATAAAAATTAAACGTTTGTATACCAAAAAAGTAAACGGTTCTCGGTAAAAACCTAGTAGGTGAAGTAGATTGGCAATCAACGTGTTAAATAAATTATTCATTTAAATTAATTAATAAATGTATTCGTATACTTACAAGCTTTTGACTCTTTCCATGGCTCTCCAGTCCTCGTTTGCCTTCAGTCTGACACTTTCACTTTTTAATATCAAAGTACACCAAACAAAAAGTAATAACAAAATTAGTTTCATATCGAAGAACAAACGTGTCTGTTTATCGGATAAAAATTGTAAAAATACCCAACGCGACAAAAAGGCACCACAAATTCAAAATAATTGCGTTTTGCGAAATATTCGAGAAATGCGCATGGCTATCGGGAGATGGAAGATGCCGGAAAGTCTAGACCAACAAGATTTCTAGGACACCATCGTGATGAATGGATACTGCAAAATAGGAATCAGGAAGTTTATTTAGAAATCCCGAAAATACAAACGTCAGACCATCATTGATTAGTTGTTATCAAGTTACAGATTTGTATGAGTGGAGAGATAAAACGAGATAATAATAGCTCTATCGATGCAAATGGTTTACTAGTGTAAAATGTATACAGGGGGATTTGTTTAATGAGTCGAATAAGAATGACCGTTAGCTTAAATTGCGATAAAAATCGCGAAATATTTTTAAGGCTTTTTTACAAATTTATCAACTTATACTCAAAATTCAGTTTATAGCCCAAGCTCTAGAGACAAAAGTGAATGATTTTGAGAATTATTTGGTGTATTTTTCAAAAAAAAAAAAATAAATAAAAAATGTATTTGTTATTGGTCAAAAAGAAATCGTTTTTATTCAAATGCAAAAAACTTTAATTCCGGCCTATGTTGAAAAATTAATTCCAACCGAATGGTGTTTCAATTCCGGCCTGTGTATCAAAAGGATTATTTTTTTTGTTTTAAACTGTACACACAATTTTTTGTAAATATGTATTATAATATTTTCAAACTAGGTACAAAAATACAGAAGCATAAAAACATCATTTTTTATAGAAGAAGCATTGAAAAATTAAAAAAATAAAAATATGTACATACGTCATACATTCTGCACCTAAAAACAACAAAAAATACTTTCATAAGTTACTCAGTACAATTTGTCAAACATAGGAAGAAGTTTGAATGCGCACTAAATTTGTCGGAAATATACCAGTCGAAGTCAACAATTCAACGTGTAAAGTTCGGTCGGTACAGTCTGCGGCGAAGTTTTCTTGAACAGTGAGTCCCAGTGCACTTTTATTGTGCAAAAACTGTGTTTTTTGATTATTTTTATTGTATTAAATCAATATTTTAGCATAACAATTTTTTGGGAAAAATAGTGAAAACATTCCATCACGTACAGTTGTTATTCCACAAACTGCTTGTCTATTTTTAGCTTTTTTTCGATATTTTATACATAGTTTTGTACTCTAGTGAGTTTGAATTTTTGTTTTTTGGATCTTTATGAACGGTTTATTAAGCCCATAGTACTTTTAATAAGTATAAAAGATACTTTCAGGTATTTTCAGTTACTTAGCTGTTTTTTTACTATAAAAGTTGTATGTAAAATAAAGAGTTGATTAGGAGAAACCAGCATTATTTTCATGTCGGTACTTGTCCATTGCCTCCCCTCCCTCGCCATCCACTTACTGACTCACTGAGCATCTTTTAGGTCAGTGCCTATCTGCCACAGTGCCCATTCTCCTCTCCATCAGCAAGCAGTGAACTTCTGCTACCTGTTCTTCAGTTCACAGTATCTCTTCACTCTGTGCTGTTCACGTGCTGTGGTTACTAGTAATTTGTAGTAGTGATTGTGAGAGTAGTATTAAATGATATCTCGTGACACATGTATAGTTGGCAATAGAGTGTGAATCAAATAACTTTCAGTGATTTTTTATCGAACTACAAAGAACATAAATTCAAGGTATCAGCCTAAACAGATTGTTTTCTTGTGGTGTGAAGCTGTTTTATAAAAAATGGCTACCAGAGGATGTATCAACTCACCATATTGCTTCTGCTACATTTGTGGTAACTATACAGTTAAGAAGCAACAAAGAAACATTTCCGATTTTGTTGAAAAGGTATATTTTGCCTATTTTGGTATAAAGTTGGGTGATCAAGACAAGTCTTGGGCCCCACACAAAGTTTGTTCAGTGTGTGTTGAAGAACTGAGACAATGGTTTCAAGGTAAAAAGCAGTCATTTCGTTTTGGAATACCAATGGTTTGGAGGAAGCCCAAAAACCATAGTGATGACTGCTATTTTTGTTCTTGCAATGTTCAAGGTTTCAATTTGAAAAACGAAAAGGATATTTCTTACCCTAACATCAAATCAGCCATTCGCCCTGTTTCTCATGGACCTGAAGTACCAAAACCCTCTCCTCCAGTTTCTTTGGATGGTATTTTAGATGACCACGAGCCATTGGCTCAGCTAGGTGAAAGTGAAGAAGACAGTGATGGCTACGATCCTGGCACAACCGATCCCGTGCCATTCTCACAATATGAACTGAATGATTTAGTTGGAGACCTAGGTCTTCCTAAAGACTCGGCAGAACTTTTAGGGTCTAGATTAAAAGATAAAAATATGTTGGCTCCGGGTACGTCCTTTTCTTGGTATTGTTCCAGGATAAAGAAGTTTGTATCTTTTTTCTCTCAAGAAATTGACTTGATGTTTTGCAATGATATTCCTGGACTTAATGGCATGTTTCAAAATAAAATATGCTCCTGATGAGTGGAGACTTTTTATAGATTCTTCAAAAAGAAGCAGTGCTTCTATACAATGGCAATAAGTATGCTTCTATGCCAGTTGGACATTATGTTCACTTGAAAGAATGTTATGAAAACCTCGAACTGGTTTTAAACAAACTCTGCTATTCAGACCATAAATGGACACTATGTGGTGATTTGAAAGTGATCTCAATGCTGCTTGATCAATAAAGTGGTTATACAAACGTCCCTTGCTTTCTCTGTGAATGGGACAGTAGAGACAGAAAGCAACACTACATTAAAAAAGTTGGGCCCTTGAGAAAAACCTTACAGGTGGGGGTTAAAAATGTTGGGAGGAAAAGACTTGTAGATCCCAAAAAGGTGTTAGTACCACCACTCCACATTAAGTTGTAAAGGCGTTGCCAAAAGAAAGGGAGTGCCTCAAGTATCTTTGTGGACAGTTTCCTGGTTTATCCGAGGCAAAACTAAAGGAAGGATTCTTTGTCGGACCAGACATTAGAAAACTGATGAGAGATCCCAATTTTATGGACAAAATGAAAACAAACGAAAAAGCAGCATGGACATTTTTTAAACTAGTTGGTACCGGTTTCCTAGGAAACAAAAAAGATCCTAACTACAAGACAATCGTCGCAGACATGCTCGACAACTTTAGGAAGCTGGGATGTAACATGAGCATTAAAGTTCATTTTCTCCATTCACATCTAGACTACTTCCCTGCAAACCTTATTGATGTAACTGAAGAGCAGGGTGAAAGATTCCACCAAGATATCAAGGAAATGGAAAGAAGGTATCAAGGAAGATGGAACGTCAACATGATAGCGGACTACTGCTGGATGCTAAAACGAGATGACCCTCAACGAGTACACAGCCAGAAAAGCAATAAAAGAAGCTTCGATGGAAAGCAAAAGCGTTACTATAAGGACTTGTGAGCTTAAAGAGAAATGTAAGTGTACTAGATATGTAGTTTATAGCATGTATTATACATGAAATAAAATCCTTTACCTTAAGAAAATTTGACAAATTGCTAAAATTGTGTTACTATACCAAAAAGTAATTCCTTTTTTGTGAGAAAACCTTATGCGATAGAAAAAAATTGATTGCATTTTTGCAATCAGCGCTGAAAAATACATAACAATCAGTTATGAAATTCCAAACAATTTAAAAAAATATATTTTTTGTAAACCTGTGTAATGAATGAATGTACATAAAAAAGCTTTAATTTGAACTTTGTTACATTAAGTACATACAGTTTCCCGAAGTATTTCATATAAATAAAAATTGTCAATTTCGACGATTAGTTAATTGTTTCTTATAATTCGGTTAATCAATAATTATAACTTACGTTTAGAATTTCTTCTTTTAATTGCTCTTCAGCGGCCGTACTGTAATCCACATTCGTTAAATTATCTGCATTATAAAAATAGTATGTGGAATTCTCAAAAATAGGTACATGTGTTCGATGATAGGATAAGAATTCAGCGTAGTCGGCAATATTCTAAAAAATAAATTAAATTTGAATCAAACTAAATACATACTGAACTAAAAAATGTGAATGAATAAATTAAAAAGAAAAGTGTTTTAAAAGTGTGTACCATAATTAATTTCTAGGTGAGCTGGTTAAAGTTACAAAGTCATCTATCGAGCTATGGTAAAACTTTAAAAAGTACCACTATGAAAAAGGTATCCTATTTATCAAAATATACAAATTTTATATACTTTATCTGGATAGAGTTAAGGCAACAACTCAACTATCAGACAACCGGCAAAAGCAGAAAGAGCAAGATTAAAGTGACTGTAAGAAGTCGAAGAAGAAGAAGCTAAGACTTATCCTATTAAAATATCAAAATTTTTTTCAATGGTTCACTTTAATAACTATGTCTATAATATATGAATTATTAAAGAGATTTTCATCTCAAAGTTTAAACTATTCTTATCCTATTCACAGACCATTATCTGTTGTATTGAAATAATTCCTGTATATATTTCTTCCGCAATTGGTTACAGTGGGAGTGGGATCACAAACATTGAGACAACGCTATCATACATTTCGATATCCAAGACTAAAAGCTAGTTAAATTTAACTAGATCACTAAACACCTGCGTAAAACTGGTTAAATCATGGGCTCAACAAATGTTTGGAAGAAAAAAATCTAACAACAGACAAAAAGGGAGACTAAGGAGATATCAACACCCTTTACCTAGTGGAGTTCAATAAAACTGTCAACCTCTGAAATGGCAAAGCATCTAGCTTTCACAATATATAAATAAAACAAATAAAGAAATTAAGAAAAAAATAATAAAAACACAATTTGGAACATTTAAATCATAAAAATATATTCATTAAGTCAACGAATACCTATATACCTATAATATAAATATTATCTTATACAACATAATGTTCATAAATATAATTTGTTATAACCCAAATATAAAAAATCTATATAGTTATTTTAAGAAAAATAAAGAAAAAATAAATACAAACACTAGGTATGTATACACATCTAAATCCTAAAATCGACTTTAAAACATCAGTGACATCGAAATTAAAACAAATATCTTCCTCGATACTTATTATAGGTAAATTTGTGATCCTGCATTGGTTCGTGGTAGATCTTAGGTAATTTTTTATTAATTTAAGTTTCGAAAATGATCCCTCCCCATGAGCTATAGTGATTGGCATAGTTAAAAATATTCTAAGCGCAACAGATAAATTAGGAAATATTCCTTTTAACTCGGTC